TCACCTGAATAGAAACCTCAAGCTTTGAACCTAGAATACTGTGATCCTGTGTAAACCCCTAGGATCTGGTACAAGGAAACAAAAACCATCCTTGGAGGGAGATTCCATGATAGAAGACCTCATACCTAACCCTACACCCACCAAGTGACTGCCACAAAGACAATCAGGCATAAGGAAAGAGGTATTTTGATTAAGAAAAACAAAAACAACAAAATCTAAAATGTGCACAGACTTTGATACACATATCATTTTAGTGGTTATATCTTTTATAGGCATTTATGAGCTTGTGTAAAAATTCAAAGTAATCTATTTCAATACGGTTTATAATAGCAAAGGACAGAAAAGTCATTGCAAAGCTTGAAGATAGGAAATTCACATGATACTGTTACTAGTGAAAAGTGAGGTAGATCTAAGTAAGTATCTTTGGGAAATATTAAGTGGAAAAAATCAAGAAAAAAATGAATAGTTAAAAAACAAAATCATAAAACCTAGATTATGTATAGTGTCTTAGTTACTTTTACATTTGTTGTTGAAACAAAATACCCAATGCCCAAAGTTAGGGAAGGAAAGGTTTATTTCTTACAAGTTGGAGGTTTCGGTCCATACTCATCTGGCTCCAAGGGGCAGGGTGGCATGGCTGGTCCAGTAATCAGCAAACTCAAACAGCGAAAGAGAAAGACACACCTTCTTCTTACCATTACATTGTACACTGGCTCAACCCCTGAGCGGGTGGAGCACTCACACCACCAATCTGAGCGCTAGACAATAAACCAACTACAAATGCTTGATTTGGTCACATCCACGATTGCATGAAGCTTGGGGGGCCACTGCCATAAACCATGACATATAACTGTTAGTCTTACATTTTTTAGCCATGTGATTATAATTGTTTTCCATTTTAAAAAAATCTAAAATATAACTGTTCTTAAATGCGTGCAATAATCATTTAGAAAGATATGATTAAAACAACAAAAATACCTGTAACAGTCAACAACAAACAGAAAATGAGAAAACTTAAGAAGATTTAGGAAAGCACACACACAGAAAATTTAAATTCAGATGAGATACACCAAAAAGCTCTAGAGAGAAAAAAGAACATTTTATTTAATCAGATCAGCAATAATTTTTAAAAATGACAAAGTACTGACAAAAATGAGAAAAACATAAAGTACTCCTTCATAGCTAACTGGTAATGAAAACTGTGAAAAATCTCTCTGGAGAACAATTTAGTTCTGTGTATCAGTTTTAAAAATAAACTCTAACAAAAATAAATCCTAAATTTTAATTTAAAAAAATTCTACTTCTAGAAACTCAGCAATAAAAGCAGAAATAAGTAAAAACATTTCATTAAGGATGTTCATATTATTTTAATCATAATTGAGCCAATTAAACTAGCAATGTGATTTTCAATTAGATATCACACAAACCAATCAGACCAAGATTAACCTGGCAATGAGATCATACTGAAACTTAAGCACGATGGTTCCTGGAGTGACTCTAGAATGCTGGTGAGTAGCACCGGTGTCTGTGACGAGGAGTGCGTTCTCTATGTGCTCTCCAGTTGTGTGGCCACTAGCCACACATGGCCACTCAACACCTAAAATATGACTGATGTAACTAGCTATTATACATTTAAATGTAAACACCCCGTGTGACCAGTGGCTACTGGGCTGGGCTGCAGGCCTCCAAAGGAGACTCTTCTCTCAAATTTAAAGTAATGCCCCATCACCCTCCATGCTGATCTCCTCAGGGGCCAAACAATAGTTTTTGACCTATAACTTCTGCCCTCATAATAAACTAAGGTTATTTGCTCCTATAGTGGTATGTAGCTTGGTGGATATAAAACATTAACAACTTTATCTTCTTTTCTAATCTTAGCTTCCGTATGCTGTGTTTTAACAAAGGTAGTTGAAATTGCCAGGTCTCGCTAGGCATTACAGTTATTTATCTGAATTTCGAAGATAAAAATTTGCTGTTACTGTCAAATCCTCAATTTTTCTCAGGTCTTAAAAAAATGGGCTTCTTTTTTTCTTCTCTGCCAATACTTTGAATTTAATTTCTCCTGTTAACAAGTCTGTGCATTAAAGAATGAATTATTTCTATAGCCACACAAATAGGAGCCCTGCCTTTTGGAACTCACTTAAGAGCTTGTCAGCCTCCTCTGGCCACCCCCTGTGAGACCAGAAGTTCCTAGGCCCAAGGGATGTGCCCACAGGAAGCAGTGCTCCAGTGCCCCTCCACCCACCCTGCATTCCAGATACCTGAGAATGGGAACTGCCTGCCAGCCAACCTGTTTTCAAGACCTGCACGGGCGTCTTCCTGAGCCTCTCTTTCCAAGGAGGCCAGGGGAGGGGCTACTTCCTGTTTGGTTTGTGTCTCAACAGTATGAATGCTTTTAAATTTGTTATGAGACAGGGTAAATAGTTTAAGCTGACCTCGAACTCACAACATTCCTTCTGTCTCAGATTTGAAGATGCTGAGATTACAGAAGTGTGCCACCACACCCGTCAGGAATTCTTTCAGAAAGCTCTTTAGGTGATTCTGCCCCAAACCCAAAAATCCAGTGAGCAATTCCAGGGTGGAAAGAGGGCTCTGAGCAGGCAGGCCCAGCCCTTGGAAAGTCCTGGACCTCTAATATTAAGAAAAGTCAGTCACACATGCTGGAACATGCCTTAATCCCAGCACTCTTGGAGACTGAGGTGGGAGGATCTCATATTCTAGCCCAGACTGGGATACTTGGCAAGATTTGTCTCAGAATAGTTTTAAAACAAGGGCTGAGACTGTAACTCAGTGAGAAGGCCTTGGATTCAATCCCAGGTACTGCAAAAACGTTACCACACACACACACACACACACACACACACACACACACACAAAAAAAAAAAAAAAAAGCAGAGCCATGTGTACAGATAAAGATACTGAGCAACTGATTAAACATTGACATGAATTCTGAGTTCATCTCAAGTCTTGGTCTTCCCAGCATCTCCCTCAACACTCTCTTCCTGGCCACCACGATGTGAGCAGCTTTCTTTGGCTGAGACCCTCTGCTATGCCATCTTGACTTTGAGCAACCTTAATCCAGAAGGACATGTGAGCCAAAATAAACCTCTCCTCTAGTTGCAAGTAGTGGGGATTGTGTCTCAGTGACAAAGTGTAACTAAAACAGTAGATAAATGGATAACAGACCCTGGCAACACCAGACAATGGAATAGTAAAAGAATCTGAAAGAACTGAGCTATGAAGCCAAGACATGAAGAAACCTCACATGCGTATTACAAGGTGAAAAAAAGCTAATCTGAAAAGGCTTCTTTCACCATGTGATCCTACCTATATAATTTCTGAGAAATAAAAAAAAAAAATAGTGAGATCAGTAGTTTCCAAGCTTTGGGTGTGAGGAGGGGGAAGCATAAGTAGACAAAGCACTGAGGATTCTTGGGGCAGCAAAATGATTCCCCCTGATATTATGGAACAAGGAGTGGTCAAAAACTATGGTGAGTGTCTAACTTAAAAAACCTTAGAGTAAGACACATTGCATTCACTCACCTTAAAACACACTTATCCCACTGTTCTTGCCATTTCTATTAAGTGACACTTTCATGTTTTTAGATGTGATAAAAAATAGTGATTACTGTTGGCAATTGCCATTCGACAGAAAGGCAGCTACTACACGTTAGTGTGACCTTGTCCACCTTATTCATCAGATCTGGCACCATGCAACTTGTGACTCCTTCCCATAGTAAAAATGACTATGAAAAGTCACTTCAGGACATGCAGGAAGCCATCACAGAGCCTGACTAAACACTCATGAAAGAGGATTTCCAGAACAGCTTGTAAAGAAGCAAAAATGATGGGATACATGTATTCAAAGCACATTTTTAGGGGTATGATTGGCAATCTGTCCTTTACTGTAATAAATTCTAAAAACTAAGGAAAAACAGTCACTGTAGTTTTCTACCACCCTCTATAGCTATGCATCATAAATATGTTCAAACCCAAAGAATGTACAGTACTGAGTGAACTCCAACATAAACTACAGGCTTTGGATGATAATGATGTACTGGCGCGGGTTCAGAGATTGTAATTAATGAGCAGCTGTGATGTGGATGTCGTTGTGAGGACAGCCAACGTGGAAGGAGAGTATGTACAAGTGAACACAAGCACACATGGCAACTTGGCTTTATGCTTTACTTTGCTGTCAATCTAAAACTGCTTTAAAAGAATAGTCTATCAAAATGTTTGTTAAAATCTGAGAAAAAAGAATGCCACATGATAATACAGGTTGATGAGTATCCCTCAGTAGACACGATTGGAACTGTGTTTCAAATTTATTCTACTCTCGCAATATTTACACATAACCATGAAATTCATGGGGATGAGAGCCAACTCTGACCACAAATTTATGTTTCACAAATATCTTACACACATGAGCCGAAGGTAATTTGATATAACTCTTTTAGTGTGCCTATGTTCTGACTACAGCCTTTCACATGGGGTCAGCTATAAAATTTACTATAGATGGCCTCATGCTGGCTCTCAGAGTTTTGGATGCTTGTATTAGGGATATTCAATTGACATCCTTACCTGAACACTCTGGGTGTAGCTGAGGATGTAATTCAGTGGTAGAGACTACCTAGTATGCGTAAGGCTTTCAATTCCACCCCTTGCAGGGCCAAACAAACAAAAACCTTCCAGGGCCATGCTTACAACCATTACCAAACAACGCATTCAACAAGGGTGGGCCCCTACACAGCACAATTTAGCACTCTACTCTAAACATTAAAGACAGTTAAGTAGGTTGCGGATCAAAGCCAAAACCAAGCCACACACAACACTAAAACTATGGTCCCATAAATTACGAGGAAATCTAGGAACTTTTTGGTTTCAAAGTCCATTTATGAAGGTCTCTCAAGTCTCCCCTTAAGACAATTATTATAAATTAAGAATTCTGTTACCCAGCCAATAATGTATTTGCCTGAAGAAAATAACTGGAAAACTTGAAATTTTGATGTTACTTTATGCTATAAAGCTTTATTTACATAGTTCTTCAAAATATGCTGCCCACCCACTCTTCAAAGTGTGCATGCTAACAAACAGATTAGCTTTACAGGAAAACATAAAACAGAGAAAACAATTCTACAGCTTAATACATACAGTACCACTAGTGGTTATTTTTACAGTTTTCTTTTGAGGATAATTATTGTCTTTTTTTTTGCTGATAACAGTCTCATATATACTTATAGTTATTTGACAGTTTTGGAGTATCTGTGTATCATTTTTTTTCCCATTTTTTTTCAAAAGTCTTGGATGATGAAGAATCATGACTTTCATCACTACTATAGCGTGCATATAAAGTCTGAAATTAGAAACACATATGTCTTTTGTAATATTTTAGTTGAATGTATTATCAATTTAATAAAGGTAACTTTACATATTCCAAATATAATAGTAGCTTGTTTACATAGTTGGGAAAATATGGTATAAATGACAAGAGATAAGAGTTTAATAAACATTTTTAATAAACATTGGCCTTCAGAATCAGGTATCATGGAATGCAGCTCAATCTTTGTGTAAAAGAAATAAAAAATAGCTAATAAGCATATGTATAAATCTTCAAGGCTTTCTTGAACTGTTTACTTTTTCTTAAATTCTTTTATGTAAACTAGAAAACTTTATTTTCAGGTGACATAGTTAAAATGAAAACAGACATTAAAAAGGATTATAAACTGAGCATAGTGGCATATGCTTAACCTTAGAACTTTGGAAGGTTGAGGCACAAGGACTGCAAGTTTGAGTCCCACCCGGGCAACGTAGCAAAGCTCTGTCTCAAAAAATAAAAAGAGGCAACAGAGGTAGCTTAATGATATAGCACCTTGGGTAGATTCCCAGTACTACAGAGGAAAAAGGTATTATTATATATGTAAATATAATTAGCCGTAGTCATCCTTTGTCTCTATGGGGAACTGGTTCTAGGACACCCGTTTCATAGACACCAAAATCTACAGATGTTCCAGAACCTTATATGAAGCGGTGTAGTGTTTGCACACACATACCCCATCCTTTTACACACTTTAAATTATCCCTACTTACAATATATGATGCATCTGTGGTTGGTTAAATCCCTGGATGTGGAACCCATGGTCAAATGTACATTAAAATTTATGTTTTTAAGACTATCACAAAGATTGAAGATCTTCCTAACAACTAATAACTAGATCACCTAACAACTAATTTATAAAGACAGGTTATCTTTGACCTCAAGGAATATATAACCTCAGTGATACAGGTGACTAATCTACTTTAATTTTATTTATTAAAAATTCTGAATATAAATTAAATTTAAAATTTATAAATTTAGAGCTGGGGATTTAGCTCAGCAGCAACAGCGCCTGCCTGGCAAGTGCAAGATCCTGAGTTCAATCCCCCGTACCGAAAGAAAAAAAAAAAAAAAAAAAAATTAGAAATTTAAAACATGAAAATATGAAATACAGGGAAATTATAAATAAAAGACTGCCCAACTTTAAACTCCTATAGCCACTGACTGGCCATCAGCACTTGAAAAAAATTAAGAGAAAACTCACTTTATACCATTTGAATGCACATGTCCAAGCTCTTAGCAACTTAAATTGACTTTACTTGTAACCAGAGAGTAAGTGAATTGTTAGTTCAAGCTCCTATAATTTTATAATGTACAATTAATAATTCCTTGGTAACTGAACTAGTTGGTCAATAAGCATTCATAAAGTCCTAGAAATGAATAGATGGTTTGATGATACGGAAATCAAAAAAATCACGCACAAACACAAACAGGTATTGGAAGGCTAAAAAGCCTGAGACATGTGCTTTGGGAAATGTATAATTGCTATGTATAGCTTTGTAGAATCCAGTATACATTACAAATACTGTAACTTCTGTATAGCTTAATATGCTAAAAATAGTACCGAAGGGCTGGGCATACAGCTCAGTGGCACAAGCACCTGTCTGGCAGGCATAAGGCCCTGAGTCTGATTCCTGGGACCAAAAAAAGGGGGAAAAAAAAAAGGATTGGTATTGAGACAGTGTTGTTTAAAAGACAGATTCCCATGTTAAATTCATTTTAACTGAGACAGGAAAGCAATCTTTTAGAGGTACCTTTTTGAGAATCCATTCTGAAATGTGCTATATTCAAAATGTAAGTATAAATCAAACAAATTTGTATGTCTCAAAAAAACCCATAAAGTACATATTAAGTATCTAAATGCAGAAATATATCTCATTTCATGTGGTTATTATACCAACTTTTCAGCTTTATTTAAAATTAATGTAGAGAATAGACATACTTACTTTAGCAACTTTTAAAATGGAGTTAGGAGAATTCAGACCAACCAATTGACCCAAAACATGTTTCATTTCATCAGTGGTTCCCTTAGCCATTTGGTTACCTATAAAAATAAATACAATGAACGTGGCTTGTACCAAATAGGAAAATGCAAGATCACTAAAACTACATTCTGTTTATTAGCACAATAATTGGAATTCTTACAATTTATTACTGATCATAACATCCTATTGGCTAAGTATAGGTGAATGTGATTTAGTAAAGAAAGTAGAAAAGGCAATTTTATTTACTTTACTATTGGCATAATAGCAACTTCTTTAGAGTAGCCAAATCACGTTCTTAGTTTTGTTACAATTAACAGGCTGCTTTTGTTAGTGATCTAGTATTAAACAATTTTTAAAATAGTACCTGGATAAGTTTGAATTTGAACATATGGATGTGCCAGGAGCTCAGGAATAGATATCCTCTGTTTAGGGTCCCTTATTAAACAACACTGTAAAAATATAGAATACATTTTATAAATCAGAATTTTTAGGGGACATTGATAAAATGCTTTTCCAGATTTCATCATATTACAGAAGCTGCTTTCTAGACACCTACTTAAATATTATTTTGCAAAACCCCTCAGCACTGTATTTTAAAACACCTCTAAAGTAAACTAAGCATGCTAAAACCAAGTTCTGTCAGCAATTCGGTAGAACAGTTATATTTAAGCCAGTTACACAACTCCAATCACTTCAGCTATATAGTTGATACCGGTGATCGAACACACAACCTTGTACTTGTCAGGCAGGTGCTGTGTCGCTGAGCTAAATCCCTAGCCCCTCCGCTATTTCTTTTAAGCATGCAATTATATAAAATATTATATTTCTATATCCACATACTATTAATATTACCTTTAATACATCTTGAAGATCTTTCTCGGGAATATCAGGAAATTCGATTTCATGATTAGGGTCAATGATGGCATGTAACTTAGAGATCTGATTAATTATATGCTGAAATGGTGTTTTTCCATACGTCATATAGTACAAAATGCATCCTAAGGACCAAACATCACTTTTGGGGCTTATCTAAATTGGAAAAAGATAAAACAAAAACATGAATTATAATTAAACTGCACTAATTGTGAGTTTACATGACTTTTTTTTTTCTTTCTGGTTTCCATATGTTTCGTTATTTCATTAAGAGACGAGCTTCACCGGAGACAAAGTGGTGGAGTGGTGAGTGCCAGCAACTCGGCTTTGCCAGGACAGTGTCTAGAGTCTATGAAACTAGCATGGCAAGGAACTGAAGAGGAGGGAACACGGGAACCATGAGGGAACTGACAGAGGGGAACAAAATCGGTGTAAGAGATAAAAAAGAGGTGGACCATGCCACAGAGGGGAGACTACAGTGTCGCCAACCGTGGCTGGCAGGCTCCCAGCCAGGAGGCAGAGTAAAACTACCGACCTCTCTGCTCACAGAGGACTGGAGAGCTCCACTCCAACCAGCAGAATCTTAAGCAGTCAGAGACAGAAGGAAGAATGTGAGGAACTGCTTCCACAGCAGCCCTGCAGAGTCCACAGGTGATTTGTGACTGCAGTACAGGTGCCCAAGGACACACCTCTGTGGAGCAAGCGCTGGTGGGGATGCCATGGTAGGGAAGGGATGGGTGTGAGCCTGGCCCCAGAGCAGCCCCCTGGCTGCTTCACACCTCCAAGTGCCCAGAGTGGGGAGCTGGAGAGCAGACTGCAGGGAGCCCTGCTAAGAGGCTGGGCCTGCGTTTCACAGACTCCATTCCTACCCCAAGAAGCCAATTTCAGCCTGAATTATGCAGGACTGGAAGCTCACGTTAGCACTGAGTTCTCACTGCTAAAAGAGATCAAAAATAGGTTCTTCTGGTATGCTACTTCTCAACAAGCCCTGACAGACACCACTGTGATGGATTAGCCTCTTACTGCTATAGGTGAATTAACTGCACAGAAATACAGTCTTGACTCAGTGGTGCAGAATCCATCATCCTACCTAGGGAGACGGACAGCAAGATTTTAACCCATGAACTTGGGCTGGATCAAACTCTGCAAAATGCCTACAACTTGGCAGAAAGGGGCCAAGTCTGAGTTCGCTTCAGTATTGCATTAGGGAAATCAGAGTTATTGGGGTGTGAGCACTCAAGACTGGCCAACAAGCAATCTGGGAAACACATATGCAATTTCTCATTGGAAAATCTGTGTTTCATGGGATAACTTTGGTTTAAATTTTCCTGTTTCTAGAGTTATGCAGTAATGTGGGGGTTATGCTATGTTCTTTTATGGTTTCATGTGTTTATTAGGCGTTGCTGTTGTATATTGGTTCTTTCATTGGCTCTGATTTTACAGGTGTCTAAGTTCTCTCATCTCTGTACTTTATCTAGTTTCTTCACCCAAACTTCCAGTACGATCTTATTAACATATTACTTTATTCTTTTTCCAAGTTTTTAAATTCCCCATGCTTAGCTCCCTCGCAATCACTCCTCCCTGCACTAGCACAATTCCTCGATCCTCCCCATCCTAGGCCTTGGCTCTTCCATAGCTTACATAGCTTGTCCTCCCCATCAGCAAATTCTGACAACCACATAGCTTTCCTCAATAGCAAAGTGAACCTCCTTTCTCCCCTATCTCACCCTGACCTCCCCAAAAATATCCTCTGACAACTCTCAGTACTAAATCAACTCAACTATAAGTACTCCCACAAAATCAGACCCCACATCAGTGTTTTCACAATTTTCCCCTTCAGACTTCCTCTTACTGCCTAACATCACTCATCCAATCACCTCCCATTCTTCCCATCCCACCTTACCTACCTCACTGGAGAGTGACCACAAATAACAAACTGTCACAGTATGCTCAGAAAATAGAGCAAGCAGGGAAGCGTAACTGCAAGGACTATCATACCGAAGTGTCATAAGATTGATCTGTGGATGCTGTTGTAAAGAGAAGCTTTTGACAAGACATAGGGACAGAGTCAAAAATCACTTAATGGAAGGAGTAAATACTAGCACTGGACATAAAAAGCTGAAAATTATTCATGAGGAGGAAACACCTACCTAAAATATCTCTATATAAAGCACAGACGCTCTTCACTTTTCTCTAGTCCCCAACCTGCAGTTACTGTCTCCTCCCAAAAAAGAGGGACAAAAGGGGTAATATATAATTTTTTAAAAGTATATAAAATATTATATATGTAATACATGTAAACAAATAAACGCAGGTATAAGTAGGAGAATGGGGAAATAAGGAAACAGAAGATATCCAAACACTCCAACTATCCCAAGGCAGAGTCAGGAAGAAAATAAACATGTGATTAGCAGAAACCTATGAAAAGTTTTTAGAAAGGATGAAGAAAACAGATAAGCTCAAACAGGAAATGAACCAAAAGTTCAGAGGAATCATATTCAATATGTCCACGATGAATTTCAGGGAAGTAGATAAAAACTGGAGGGGGTAACCAAAATAGTTCAAAATTTGAACAACAGACTCAAAAAGGATATAGAATCCTTAAAAAAGATATCAGAAACACCTCAAATGACTGATCTAAGTTAGAGAGAAACTAGAAGACAGCACAAATCACTAACATGCTCACAGAAATTATATAAGAAAATTTCCCAAATATAAAGAGTTTAAAATACAAGTGGCACTTATAGAATACCAAACAATTGTGACAAAAGCTCGTCAAGGTATATCTTCATTAAATTCACAGATATCCAGAAAAACAAACGAATAGAATGTTAAAGGCAGCTAGGAGGTAGGGAGGGGGATCATTTACAAAGGTAAACTAATTCGAATCACAGAAGACTTCTCAGCACAACCCCTGAAAGCTGGAAGAGCTTGTAGTGAAATATGTCAAACTCTAAAAGCAAGTAACTTCCAACCAAGATTAATTTACCCAGAAAAGCTATCCTTCAAAATAGATGGAGAAATAAGGTATAAACATGAAAAAGACCAGCTCAGATATTACATTAGTGCTAAATTAGCTCTAGAGAAAAAGCTCAAGAATATTCTCAATAGAAACAATGAACTGGACAGAGCTAAAATCACAGAGGAAATTTGCCAAGCCAGTGGATAAGCAACAATAAGAAACACCAGGAAAAGAAAAACAAAGGCTCCACCCACAGAAAAGGAAAGCAATGATAGTAAATAACCAGCACATCCCAGGACTATCTCAATGTAATTGTGGCCTTAAGGGGTCCTCAGGACACTGTGTGTGTTGACATCCACTTGGCCACAGTGCTGGAGACAGCAGGAAGATTAGTCTACAGGCCCAAAATAGCACGTTGGGCAAAAGCCCCCTGACAAGGGGCACCAAATAGGCTATCACAAAACTCACAAAGGCAGTAAAATATAGTAGAAAGGAAACAGAGACAAGAAAAATTTATAAATTTCAGTCATACTTGGAAACGTACAACTTATAAATAATACATGAAAAAACAGTTGAAGAATTAGGAAACAATCCTTCAAAGGAGATCAAATTCGATGTTATTTTCAGGTGTTCAAACCAGAGCTAACTTGGTATTTTTTTCCTTTTAAACTTAAGAAACATCCTACCTATGCCCCCTCCCCTCCTTTTTTGGCATAGTAGAGCCTTTACACTGAGCTACGTTCCCCTTTCTTTTTTTTTTTTGGTCTTTTTCATTTTTATTGGTACCAGGGATCGAACTCACAACTGCCTGCTTGCAAGGCAGGCGCTTATGCCGCTGAGCTAAATCCCCAGCCCTACATTCCCCTTTCTTTGTTTATTTTTTAAAATTTTAAGACAGGGTCTTGCTAAGTCATTAAGTCGCTCAGGGTAGGCTTGAACTTGGGGCCCTCTGCTGCAGAATCTCCGCAAGCTGTGGTTATTGGCACATACCACTACCACAGGAATAGGTGAATTTCTTATAGAAGCACAGCAAGGACCAACAAATTAAAAGGATAACAGTAAGGAACACTCTGTTCAGTCAATAAAAAAAAAGTGAAATCAAATCCCATGATAATCGACTTAAGAAGGTAAGATCTCTGTACAGTAAAGGACTATGAAATTTTAGAACTTAAACTGATGTGATAAGTTTACTGGCGGCAATTAAATGGAATGTTTACAGTACCTTGGACTTGGATTTCCCATTTTCTCTTGAGGAAGACATATCTTTGATTGCTTCTGGTGGCATATAATTAACTGTGCCAACCTATTTGCCAAGGAACAGAAAGCACAAATCAATGAAAATGTTTCATTCTGCTTTAGATTTTTAAAAACACACATCAGATTCCTGGAAACTAAAATAATTATAGATTTCACTGATATACTTGAAAAATTCAAATAACTGCTAACACCGTTAAGCTGTAGATCAAATTACAACTGAAGCAAAAACGAATTGGTTTCAGAATTCAAAAACTGCTTTCAAAATGCTGTGCTTTTTATATAATTATAGAGGACAAATAGTATTATCTGGCTTCCAATGTTCAGGTTAAAATTCTGTTAATAGTGATAAACTTTGAAGGAATTATTATCACTCATTTCTGTGCTGAAATACTCAACATTTTTCTTCTGTAATAAATCAAAGCCCAGTCATACTTTGGACGTAAAAAGAAATAACTGTCAAATCAAACTGTTTTAAGGACACGCTATCATTCCTCTAACAAAGCTGGGCTTTGCTCTTAGGGTTAAAGCTCTTCTGCAACAGAAATCTGCTACACGGAACACATCATCTTTGTGCCAAAAAAGACTGCCTTAGTTACACTTCAGCACCACTGCTTTAGGTGCTATGGGATAATCTCTTTAGTTTGCCTACCATAAAAATGCTTGTTTAGTACAGTATTTATTATGGTGTTTCTAATACACAGCCTCTCTTAAAATTTTGTCTCCCAATTTAAGTGATATAAACAACTTTATACTCTAGAAGAATATAAGGAATCTTACGTCACGGACAGAGTCAGGGAAAAAATGTAACTACAATTCCCTCTTTGCTTGCTACCCAGAAACTCTAAGCCAGACACTCAGGCTGATTCTGGACCGTGACCAAGGTGACTTCCAAGCCAGGCACTATATTGCTTCTCTATCTCAGCTGTAGAAAAATCATTCAAAATTACCAGATATATTCCTGATGTTAATTTTCTACTCGAAATTGTATCACCATGGTTTTGAATCTTTTTACATAGTGTCTGTTCTTACGAGATTTCAAACTTCTTGTATCACAAGGTAAGTGAAAATACCATGTCCATGGGCAGAATCGTATGTGCAAAGGGACTGAACTCAATGGCATTGTGATTGACCATCCACTCAGAGTCCTACCTGAGAATCTTTAACAATGCTTGTTGTATCAGGCTGCATTTGGTTTGCGATGCCAAAATCAATTAGCTTTAGCATTCCATCAACTATTAGGAAGTTAGCCGGTTTCAGATCACTATGAACAATGCCTTTAAATAAAAATGCATTATATAAGACAATGTAAAATACTCTGCAGATGAAAAAAATTCACAACCCATAGGGCAGGTTAGTTCCTTTGTCAACTCAATGAAACAAGTTACACTTTCATATCACTTGCCAGGAGCCAGTCACCATTCTAAGATTTTTACTCATAATGGGTTATTTAATCCTCCTGACAATGCTGAGGTGAGTAGCGTTATATTCATTTCAAACTGGGGAAACTGAGTTTAAGTAAGTTGTTCAAGAACACAAAGCCTAAAAGATAATGCCATGCACTGAAGTCATGAGTCTGGCCTCAGGGGCTACCTACTGCTGTTCATTGCCCTTAGGATGGCAACTGTAACTGCTGAGTAGTATGAGTTGATTACTTTAGCACTTTCATTCCCAAAGCCTTGACGTGACCTTAATGAAATAAAAAACTCTCACACTGGACAAGTAACAAAATCAATGAATAATGAGAGAAGTAAACACTGCACATTTTTAGGATGCAGTCTTATATATATAATGAGCACGTGGAGATAAGGATCATAGATTACACTAACACTGACACAGGTACGTTTTGCATTATGCATATAGGAACTGGAGTTTATGTCTTTATCCTTTGAGGCAACAGTGCCTTAAGAAATGTAATTTCTGGGCCTGGTGGCACACAATTGTAATCTCAGCACTCAGGCAGACTGAGGGAGGAAGACCGCCAAGTTCAAGACCAGACGGAAACGTAGCAAGATCCTGTCACAAAACAGAATGTTATTCAAGAGCTGGGAACACAGCTCAGTAGACGTACTGCCAAAAATCAAAACAAAACATGAATGGATTTGTTCCTTCATATTTAAATACACTTTTAATTGTTAAGTTCATTTTATTAAAAGGTGCCAATTGAGTTGTAGACATATTTCTCTAGGGATGAAACTATTAATAAATACTTTAACTTTACACATATAAAGAAACTTCAAAATACCATGTTGATGGATTGTGTGTACTGCCTCCAACATATTCTTCCAGTAACTCTTGCGTTCCCATGGATTGATGGACTTTTTTTTCTTAAGCCAACTATTAAGATCAATATTTCCACATTCCATTACCATGTAGATATAGTGATCTGTAAGTTCACTGTAATTAAAAAAAAGCAATAAAACAATAAATAATTAAGATTGTAGCAAAATTTACTGTGTCTACCTAAAATTATGGCAAAAAAGTTTTACTTTTAAATTAAAAAAGCAGGGTGTGGTGACACACACCTGTAATCCCAACATTTGGGAAGCTGAAGCAGGAGGATCATTTTGAGGTCAAGACCAGCCTGGGTTATAAAATGCTCAAGGCTAGCCTCAAACTTGTCTCAAAAAGCAAAAAAAAAAAAAAACCAAAAAAACCAGAGAGAGAGAGAGAGAGAGAGAGAGAGAGAGAGAGAAAGAGAGAGAATTAATTAGGATTCTTACTAATCATAAAGTCGGATGATCTTATCACTGTGTTGTTGTAGTTTATTCAAGTAAGCTATTTCATTCCGATAACTTTCAATAGTTTGGTTATCTGCTTCTTCTAAGTTTACATATTTTATAGCATATATTTGTTTCTTTTCATTCAAGACCTGAAATACCTATATGGCACAATAAAGAGGAAAAAGTTCAGTATGCATCATTAGCACAATGTATTAGAAATATATACCTCAAAAGTATGAACTTAAAAATTTTCTCTATCAATACATAAGAAAAGTAATTTTAATTTGATATATGTTCACGACACTCTTAGTATGCTTTAGCCAAGGAAATGATGTAGAGAAAAAGACATTCAAAAGTGTTAACTATGACTAAGGCTGTAAGTAACAGACAAGTCTTTTCTTTGGTAGTGTTTTTTTTCCATTGGGTCTATTGCTGACATGTCTACTCATGTGGTGGAAGAAGATTAAAAAATATGTATTAATGTCATCTATCAACAAATTCAATAAAAAAATACAGTAGGTCTGTTTGTATAAAAATCCAAAAAAGGTTAAATCTGCAGGAATATGTTCTCCTAAATACACTGTGAAGATCTGTAACGTCCAGATGAAATTGCTCTGGCTCAATGCATGGTTAACTTTGAAGTAACACTGATAGAACAGATATCATGTTGAAAAGAAACCCTGCTAATGGCCTTGATGTGCAGCAAGGATGAAGTTTCTAAGCCTCAAGAATTCAAATACAAAATGCTAGTATATGTGAGTTATAGTCCCGTCTTCACTTTGCCATACTGACGTAAAAGGTTATTTAACCTTGATACCTAGCAGACACTGAAAACGAATAAAGAAGAGTGCAAGTGCATTCAAGGGTCACAAGCTAAGACTACACTAATAAGGAAGGTCCATTAAGTCCACAAAGATGGCTTGCTTTTAATTATTAAGTACAAAACTCTATTTAAAAAAAGGCGGAGACAGTCTGAGCTACCACAAGTAAGATTTGCTGATTGGCTGCATGTGTAATGAGAATAAGATTAATTAATTGGTTTTAGTCCAGCAGCTGGAAGAATGGAGTTGCCATTTACTGCAATAGGAAAGATTGCAATGCATGAGTCACAGCTGGACATACTGTTTTAAATGCCTTATAGCCCAAAAGAGATGAGCAATCAGGTTTGATGTGTAAGTCTACAAAGGTGAAGCCTGATCTGCAAAAACAAGGATGCAAATTGCCAGCAAAACATGGTATTTAAAGCCACAAAACCGGAAGACATTATCAAGGGAATGTGTTAGTTTAGAGACACAAGAGGGCAACGGTAGAGTCCTAGGTAAGGCACCACTGGGATCAGACATGTGGGGGAAAGTAAAAGGAAAAAGCCAGACTCAGAGAGAGTGAAAAAAGAGGAGCAGGTGGAAGAAAAACCCCAGGAGAGACAAGGATCAAACAAGCCTCTTGTATGGAAAACTATGTAACCTAAAAATAAAAGCTAAGGACTAGATTTAGCAAAAATATGGTGGTGCATGTCTGTAATCCCAGCACTCAGGAGGCTGAGGCAGGAGGATCACTAAGTTCAAGGCCAGTCAGAACTACACAGCAGGACCCTGTCCCACTCACCCCAAAAGAGGTTATAGCAATCATAAAAAACAGTTGTTTTGGTGAAACACAAAGTTAAAAAAAAATTGACTGCAATACATTTAAGAAAATAAGAATTAAATATGAATAGTGCTTAAGACACCTTTCGCCCATAATTAGAATCATATAATTTTATTATCTTAAAATCTGGTCTTGAGTCACATTTATTGATTTGTCATTAATGACGTAACACTAGAGAATAGAAGGAAACATGGGTAATGGAAAAGGGAAGTACATATGCACAGAGCAATGTATAGCATGCAACGTCTAAGACTGGTTCTGACAGTGAATTCTAAGTTAAAAGATCAGACACTGCTGTGATGGTAGAAGAAGCTGCAAGACCAAAAGCCGGGAGATGAGTGCTCAGGAAAGGTTTCTTGGGTTTTCACACTGAGCTACATCCTCAATCTTTTTTTACTTTGAGATGAGATCTAATTAAAGTTGCTCAGGCTGGCCTCAATGTTGAGATGCTCCTGCCTCAGCCTCTACAGAGTGCAGGGATTACAGGCAGGGACTGCTGTGCCCACCTTCAGGAAAGGTGGAATTATATACATTTAGAACTCAGATGAATTAAGGAAAGAATCTAATTCAAGAAACTCTTTTGTTACTAACATTTTGAAATGAAAACACACACACACAACTGAACAAAATGGATTAATGAAAATCTTTGATGAAGGATGAAGCAATTCATATCACATGAAAGAGCACTCAGGAGGCTGAGGCAGGAAGATCACTAAGTTCAAGGCCAGCAGTTCAAGCCACTCCTGTGGGAGTGCCAGAGTGGAGGGACAGGCTTGGAACTGAGGTCTCCAGAGGATGTGGCATTTTTTGAAGTGGGGAGAAGAGGGCGGGGGCGGGGGGAGGAGGAAGAGGAGGAGGAGGAGGAGGGAAGAGGAGGTTGTTAGAGCCTGAGGTGACTTTTTTTTGTTCTAGGACTACATGACCCTAAAAGCTAAATAAATAAATAAATTTTAAAAATAAATAAAAGTTTAAAATTTCTTATTTCCTAAATATTGCACATACTTACCTTACTTGAACCTCCACTGCCTATCTGCTTTAGTATGGAATAAATTCTTCCTTTAACTGAAATGCATTCATTTGAAGATCCTACAATCTAAAAATTAAAATATACAAAGTTCAAAGAATATGCGTAAAACACTAGTCTGCATATCATACAGTCAAATGTTCCCAATTTTAAAATTCTTTTAAAGTAATGCAACCATGATACAGTATTTTAAAAAGGGAACTTGCTTGGCAAACTTTAATCAAAGAAATAAACTTATTAAATTAATATGTAGACAAACTACTAAGGTCTCCATTAACTCACTTTTACTGATGAACATAGACAGAAAATTTAAGAAAATAACATCTAAAATCCAACATACAAACCCACGAACTATCACTTTTTTGTCTTTCTTTTCCTCAAACCTCTAACATATAAATACATACTTATAGCTCTGTTCCTTTTTCTCTCCTGGCATTATATGATGAAGGTACGTGCTAAAGTACTAAGAGCTCCGGAGGGAGTCCCCAAGTGCTCATTCCAGCAAGTGGGTCCCCCTGCAACATGCTGAGTGGTGTTCTGCAAGTTATTCCTTCCCTGAATGCACATCTTTCCCAGCAGACTTTCATCCTTTCCCTTCTGAAGGAAGATCTCAGTCCTTATACATGCTGGCGTGCTGAGGACTTATTTTAAGTTAATAAAAAAGCTGAAACATTAAGTTTTTGATAAAGGATTCTAACATTTTTTCTTGCTTACTTGCTTTTTGGTGGTGCTGGGATCTAGCTCAGGGCTTTGAATATGTTAGGCAAGCACTCTGTCGCTGAGCCATATGTCCTGCCCAGGATTCTAATTTATTTTAGCCTCTAGGGTTGAAAGACAATGTTAAGTCATGAAATAAGTTTCCCATAGGAATATATGTTGTGATTTCATCAAAGGCCTCAGGCTTCCTTCCTTTTTGTGTCTTCTCCATTCTTCCTTAAACTTCAGACACTGCTTAGAGAAGGCAGTCTGCTGTCCTTTCCCTTGGTGGCGGCTGGCGGCATTCGGAATGAAGGAGTTCTAACTTACCCTAATTCAATATGGTATGAGGTTCATTTCCTGCACAAGACATCCATGTCCGCTTCCTATAACCTCTACTCTGAGGCTAGAGTTTTCATAATGCAAAGTAAACAGCTTATTCTCTTGCTTCAACCTCTACCACTGCTTCCTGCTCCCGACCCGAAAGACCTATCAGCACTAGGACACATCCTGCCCTGAACCCCAGGGGTATCCTGGCATCCTGCCGAGCCTCCTGTCATTTCCCTCCAGACTCTGCCTCCTCCAAAAGGTGCTTCACGCGCCTTCTCTTGTTACTTCAGACTCATCTTCCAGATTTTGACCCAAACAGAGCCTGGCACAAGTTATAACTTAGTGTGTTTTGAATTAAACTTTTTCTACTATATAATTATATTGTCTCAAAACTCTTTCCACAGTAAGAAAAAGACAAAACTACTATCAAAAGTAGACAAAACTACTATCATCTAATTTGGGGGTCTATTTTTTTTAAATTATGGCAAAATATATGTAACCTAAAATTTACCATTTAATAATTTTCAAGTACAATCCTGGCATTGAGCACATTCACATCATTGTGCAAACATCACCATCATCCATCCCCAAGTTCTTATTATCAAACTAAAACTCTATGCCCACGAGGCAGAAACTCCATTTCTCCCTCCCCAGCCCAATAACCACCACTCCAATCCTGTCAATTTTTTCATCAATTGATTTTATAGGTAATTACTAGTTTTTGCTGTTTTATTTAAATAACAATTTCTGCCAACATTTATTATACACTAAATGCCATGCTGTTTTAAGAGTTACACATACTAATTAATACAACTACCTTTGGCAGCTTTGTCTCCATCTTTTATGGAGAATGAAATGGGCACAAGAGTTTAAGTAACTTGGGGGAAAAAATAAAAATCACACACTAGTGAGTGATGTGGTTAAGATGTATGCACAGGCCAACTGTCTATGAGGCTGTCTCTCAGAGTTACTATAAGCTAATGTCAGGTGCTGATGTCAAGAATGTCTTTTTTTTTTTTTTTTTCATATAGTAATGCAACCACCTCACCAAAATATCAGTTAGTTAGTAGTTCCTCTTCTTGCAACTCTAAAAACCTTGAAGATTTCTCCAAATGAATATTTATTAGTAAGTGAAATGGAACTGTTCACAAAGTGCTGAGTTAAACAGCTTGCAAACTCAGTTATAAGAGAAATTGTATTGCACTATTCAGACTGGGTCCTTGGGTCTTATTAATCAGGACAGCTCCATTCACTTCTTCAGTAACTATAACTCTCGAATTTACCATGCATCCCTTTCTGGGGTTATCAAAAGTTCTTTAGACCTTTCCTAACAACTAGATGCTGTTTTTAAAAAGGTCTGTCTGTCTGTCTGTCAAACTGACTGTACATAACGTAAGTCATCATAAACAAAGCTTCTCAAACCTGTAGGTTCTGCAGAGGAGTGACAGGAACTTGCTGCTGCTGCTGCTGGAGGCAGCTGAATCGGCTGTAAGGGGTTGATGATGGACACACTGGGAGAAAGCTGTTCTTGACCACTGGAGTTCTAAAACTAGAAAAGATCACTTTTACCCTTAATTCAAAATACTAAAATTTTAAATAAACAAGATCCCCATTGAGGTTTCATGTGTTTCAAATAGGCTGATACAAACTTGGAAGTGTTACATTGAACAGATCCCAAGTTAGTTTTTATGTTAGGGCTGATATTTGTTTATTCTAGCTACATTACCACCAACTATTTTATTTGAGGGAATTCTTTGTGAAGCAAATTTTTGCTTGTCAGACAAGAGATCTTTATTACTAAAATAAGGAAGATGGCATTTAAAATTAGTAGTATTATTTTACAAGAAGTTAAGACACAGACCAGCTTGTGCTTAAACACAGACTCCAAGTGCTTTTGAATAACAACATTCTATAATCTGGTAAAAATATCTAAAAGTTAATTACACTACAAGAGTCTGGCCTTTAACTCCTTCAGTACACATGGGCCCTTTGCTTATTACCTGGCCTGCTAACCATTACCTGTCTGTTCTACCTCTATAACAGTACTTGGCACAAAGGATGACTGTAAATATTAATAATAATCTAATTATCACAAGAAATATCTATATCGCTATTTTAGTTAGCAATCATTCTTTAAAATACTCTACATATAGTAAAAAGGAGCAATATATACCAAAATTATACTAAATAGGTAATCCTCTCATTGTGGAAGGAGGCCAGTTCCAATTAAGATCAAACATCATGGACTTGTTACCAATTATTACAAATATATTAAAAATACTAATATTACAAATATATCAAAAATACAGCCACCAACTGAAAATGAGGTACTATACCCTTTTCTTTATTCTTGTAATACTCCTTATGGTTCCTATTAATGAGCACTGACCATCCATCCGACTTCTTCACTCATCCCTTATTCCTATCTATTCAGGTTTTACTACTTTGAACACCTTCAGAACTATGTGAACTACACAACCAGCCTCTTCCAAAAAACTATCACACTCCAATTAACACTTTTCATGACCATATTTATCCATCCTTTATCCATTCTAGGAATGCTTACCTTCCTTTACAGTATCTCTAAGAGAAGTATCCAAGAGACAAATGCAAGGTTTTTAAAAAGGGTTTCTTCCTTAGAAGATTTACAGGTTGTAAATACAAATATGACAATACTATATTTATAATAATCCTTCATAATATGGTTATATTTTATAATATTCTACATAATATATCCTATAATATTCTACATCCTATATAATATATATCCTATATAATACTACCCTTTATAATACTAATGTTATGGCTACGTCTTCCCCTTTATGTTTTAGATTAAAAACATGATGCTAAGAAAAATAATAATTTGCAAGGATGGAACCTCAGATCTATTTGAGATTAGATGAACCTCAAAATCCATGTTATTCCTACTTTTATCATTCTGAGTCCTGAACCAGCTACCAAAGGTAATTACCAGTTCATGTAATCATCCAGGGTATTGCTACTTGGTGTCTGACAAATAGATTTTGGATCAATCCATTTAGGCACTGATAAGGGTGGTGACTGCTTTGAAACTGACAAGACAGGTTGCTCAACAGTGGTGTGTTTCTGCTAAAAGAAAATTCAAAATGTCACGATTTAGAATTTCTAAATTAGTAGCCTGTTCAATAACTTAACAAGCACCATACATCTAAAATAACAGAAATATGAGAAGTGAAATCATACTAACACAGGTAAGCATATGTATTTTAGACTTCAGTAATTTTCTAAAACAGTTCTTTTACTCTGAACTTTCAAATCTAACATATTCTGCTCAAAATGATTATAAGTGAAACTATTTAACAAAGCAAGACTTAACATCTTTCCTCCTCAGTTTCTGTAATAACTGTCACACATTTCATAATAGGAAACAGCAGGGAGTAGAGGTCTAGCTCAGTGGCTATGTGTGAGGATATGAGTTTGATCCAGCACCAAAAAACAAACAAACAAAAATAACAGATAAACACTAATGATTTAGCAAAAAGCAGAATGGCAAAAGCCTATCTGTACTTTTCTCTCTCATATGACACAAAGAACCAGTACAGTTCATCTCAGATAAATCCCCAAAGGATAATAAAGGAACATCTTTCACAGTCAGGATCACAAAATAACAGGCTAACGGCTGAATCTGGCCTGTCTCCTGTTTGTGTAAACCAGCTTTCCCTGGAGTACAAGGATGTGCATTTGTTTCCACATGGTCTATGGCTGTTCTCCTCCTCCAATGGCAGAGTTGAAAACCTGCAATGGGGGCTATCTAGCCTGCAAAACCTACTAACCCTTTCCATAAAGTTTACCAACCCCTACTCCACAGCACCTCAGCCAAGCAGAACACTAGTTTTCTTGAAGATAGGTAGTAACTAAGCACTCTACTTTCTCCAGAGGTTCACCTCAATATGGAGACAGTTGTACTTACTAGTATTTCCAGTGATTTAGAGTAAACTGATTTCTCTATCCTATCAACCCCACCATGCTCCTGAGAACTATGATGGATTAATCTCTTCTGCTTTGTATTCTGCAGTCCTCCTAAATTCTGAAGATAACTACAAAATCTCTTTTGCTGGATAAACTTAAGACTTTCTTGTGCATATGTATGTGTATGTGCGTGCACAGATTAGTGGTGAAGATGTGATTGAGAAACTGCTATAGTAAGATTACTGAGCAAGAAAATGGAAAAGACAGTTACCACACAGTGGGATGTTGGCATTTAATTTTCTGGAGGTCAGAAATGAAGGTACAGGAATGGGTGGTTAAAGTTAAATTAAGGATAGCTGTGAGAGGAACAAATAATGAATTTGAAGACCGGCTGGCTGTAGGACTAGTTATACAGAGACGTGTAGAAGTCAGCAAAAACAAAGACAGTTGCTAGGTTTTGTGTGACCCACAGCCTAGTATCTACAAAGAATGATGGGGAATCACTAAGATTGTCAGAGATGACAGCAATGAGGAAGGAATAGGACTGTGTACCTACAAAGCAGAATCTTCAAAAGAGCAGGCCTTTAACAAAAAGAGAAACAGGCTGGACACAGCAATGGGGAAGAGTTTATGGACGTAAAGCTGGTGAGATGTGACACAAAAAGAAATATCCCTTGAGAGGGTCGCTGGACAAGCAGCGACTCCAACAATCTGGCTAAGTGTACTAACCAGTGGTGTACAGAATATTAACTGCTACCAAACTTCAGAATATTGTTATTTCCTAAAAAGAAACCCCACAACCATTAGAAGTCACTCTGTCAATATTTCGAGTCTTGAGAATACTGGATAATCTATCTTCCATTTCTATGATTTGTTTATCATGATCATTTTACATAGACAAAATCATATACCTTAGGTTTTTTTGTGTGTGATTATTTACAATATTCCATTATAAGAATGTATCATTACATATTCATCAGTTGATAGAAATTTTGTTATTTCTGCCTTTGGGCAATTATGAAAATGCTACTGTGAACATACATGCACATACAACTCGATTTTAACTACTTTGAAGAACTGCTAGACTGTTTTCCAAAGCTATTATACTAGTTTGCATTTCCACCAATGGTGTTGAATGGGCCCTAAAATGCTTGTAATCCTCAACACTTGTTACTGCTTTGTTTTAATTATAGCCATCCTAGTGCATATAAAGTGAAAAATTGTGTCTTTGGCGTGCATTTCACTAATGACCCTTCCCCTTTGAGTGTCTGTATAAGGATCAAACCCAGGGCCATTAGCATGCTAAGCATGTATTCTACTTCAGGGCTATGCTAGCAGCCCCACTAAATGAGTTTTAAATCCCTTTACCAGCATACTGTATTTACAAGTTCTAGGAGGAAGAAAAGAAGGGGAGCTTATTTAATATGACCCATAATTCAAACTACTTAGATCCTTTTTGTCCCCATTCCCTAAAACAGTGGTCCAGGAAATTCGAGGGAAAGGGTGGTCCTCATGACACAATCAGGAGTTCTGAATGGTTAAATAATATTTTCATAGTATACTAAAACTGCACTAGCCTTTTTGCTTTTATTTTCTCCCAAGTATATACTAGTTTTCCAGAGACTATATGAAATGTAATAAAATAGATTAAATATAAAAGTAGATACAAGAATCATCTTCTACTAAGTCAACTATTAAAAAGATTCACAAAAATTGCACAACAATGCCATTTTTCTTACCAAAACTATTTCAAGAAAAATTTTTTTGCCGGATATGGTGACCCACATCTATCCATCACATCACCCTAGGAGGCAAAGGCATTTCCAACAATGGTGTTGTACGGGCCCTAAAATACTTGTAAGCCTCAATACTTGTTACTGCTTTGTTTGAATTATAGCCAGAGAATGGCAAGTTTGAACCCAGCCTGAGTAATTTAGCAACCTAGCAAGACCTTGTCTCAAAATTTTAAAACAACTTTTAAATTAAAAAGCAAATGTAAGTAAGGGCCGAGGGTGCAATGGGTTTGAATGTCAGTACTACAAAAAAGAAAGAAAACTTCAATGTTAAAAACTTTTATTTATATTCACTGGTAACACATTTACATTGGTTATTTTTAATCAACAAATACTTTTTAAATGTCTTGGTTTTGGTTTCTAATACACTAAACGAAGATAAACATAATTCACATGAACCAAAGTTCCTAAGGGTCCTCCATGAAGAATGTAAAGGGATCTGGAAAGCACAATGTGAGACAATCACCAAGTCAGACTACAAGGCTTTCCTGCTTCCTACCTCCCTCCAACGCAAACAAAAAAACCGAAATGCTACAAATTTACAGACATTGTCTAGTAGATGTTTTACTATGTTCATGCTACAAATTTACAGACACTGTTTAGTAGATGTTTTACTATGTTCGTCAGTGGTTATGACCATAGGGAACTGGTGGTCAAACACTGATATAACACACAGGTTCAGAGATTAGTATATGGTTTTCTGTCAACGACTGGACTGTGAACATTTTAGGCTTTGCAGGACTAAGGTTTCCATTGCAACTCATTGTGAGTTTATAGCACAAAAGTATCTTCAGATAAGTAAATAATGAGTCTGGTTGTATTTCAATAAACTTTATCAACATAGGTCGGAAACTAGATTTGATTCGCTATGTGTTTGCCAATCCCTGCACACAAACTAATTCATAAAACATGGCACTTAAGCACTGAACAAAAGAAAATAACATGGTCACCACAGTGTAGAAATGCATTATTATGAATAGCTGCAATATTGTACTTTAAGGGAAAAAAAGTTACCTCTGTATTAACCTTTGGAGTTATGTCTGGAATATGTCGCTGATTTGAAAGTACAGCAGGATTCTGGTTCACGCATTCTGACTGTCTTTTAGATTGCCATTGTTTCGGGGTGCTTTCTGGAAACTTTGGTTCTTGATACTCCTTAGTTTCTGAAATTATTTTTGTTGTCATTAAAAGGCAATGATATTTGATAATAACAAAGACAGGGCATAGTGACATCTATATGTAATTCTGGCCACAGACTGAGATAGAACCACTTAAAATCATGCATGCAAGCCCAGCTGAGACATCATACCAAGATCCCTATCAAAAAAAGACAAAAACAAAAATGGTATAAACTATATACAGTGTAACAATGTTGCTATTCCTTTATTATTTGATTATGAAATTTTGTGAGATTAAAATAAAAAACACAAGAAATAAGTGAGCAGATAACTCAGGAGTCTGATGCGGGGCAACTTAGTAAATGTCTGTCTCAAAAAAAACAAAAACAAAAACGCTGGGTATAAAAGCCCTACAATCCCTAGTACTACAAAAAAACCCCAAAACAAACTCCCCCTACACACAAAAAAACCCTAAAAGTTTTAAGCCAGCTATTGACAGTTTGCTTCTACTGAATAAATTTTACAAAGCTGTGACACAAACACATTCCTAAATTGATATTCAGTTTTGTTAAAGACCATCCCAGACTTCAAATACTCTGGAAAGAGAAAATAATGTACTATTTTTCATATTTCTCTAGTTTCATTAGCCTATAATTTACTTTAAGGGTCTATAAACAAAAATGACTCAGCAATATGTTTAATACTCTGTAAATACAAAAATTTTATTCCCTCATAATAGATGCAAAAATCCTAAACAAAATATTAGCAATTGATATATGATATCAAATTACTATAGCCAAAGCAGGTTTATTCTTAAATGAATGTAATACGTGATAAGTATATTATAGAGAAAGAAAATATGAAGAACTCAATAGCTTCAGAAAAAGCATTTAATAAAATTCAGCACTCAGTAATAAAAAACTCAGCAATCTAGGTATAAAACAGAACCCAACTGGGGAAAAAAAATAATCAAGTTATAGCATATACAGCTAAAAATTCCTTGTGAATGTGATTATTGTGTATACCTAAAATGTACCAATAAACTTAGTTTTTAAAGATTTCAAAACATAAATAAAAATAAAATAAAACAGAATCCATTCAATATGACAGTAGCTATAAAAATCTATAGTGTGGCCAAAGTTGGGAAAGCATTAGACTGAAAAATTCTACATTAATCATCATACTAAGGGTAAAATACTGAAAATTTTCTCTTGAAATAAGGAATGCAAGAAGAATTCTACCTATCATTCTTTCTCTTCATAATGATACCGGAGGTGTTAGCAACTGTAATAAGGCAAGGAAAAAAAATGAAAGCTAGAGATTAGAAAAGAACAAAAGTGATATTATTTTCAGACAACACAATTCTGTTGCTACAAAACCCCAAACACAAGAGAAAACTGTTAGTATTCAATGAATTTAGTAGTGTTGCTGTACCTAAGATCAGTAAGTAAAATCAATCATGTTTTCATACACTAGCAGTATTTTAAAAAAAAGTCACAGTACAAAAAAACTCACTATTCAGTAAAAGATATGCACGATTTCTACACAGAAAAGGATTCTCTCCATGTTTTAAATAAATCAAAGGATATGCCAATTTAGTAAACTTGAGAGCTGAACAATAAAGATATCAATTTGTCCCATATTTTCTTTTAAGTTCAATTAGATTTCAGCTAAATTTCCATTATTTGAAAAGCAGAAACTGCTATATGGATTCTAATATTTATATGGAAATCCAAAAGGCCCAAACTAGTCAAAATACTCTTAAAGAACAAAGCTGGAAGGTTTATATTAAGAGGCACCATGACTTAACTGCAGTAGTAAAGACACAATAAACACAAAGGCAAAATTTACTATGGAACAAAGAAGAGTTCAAATACAGACAATTACACAGAATCACCTTATCTACAAAAATTTAGGGAAGAAAAAGATGATCTTTTCAATAAATGCAACTGGGATACACACATGAGGGAAAAAAATGAATCCTGACCCTAGATCTTTAGCATGCATAAATATCAAATTCAAGTAAAAGAATCTCAATGGGAAAGGTAAAATCATAAATCTGAAAAATATGAAAATATATTTCTGACCTAAGAGCACAGAAAGGTTTATTTAAAACTGCAGAAAGTATTCACCACATAGCCAAAGACTGATAAGTAAAATACATTAAAATTAAGAATTTATCATCAAAAGCCTTCACCCAAAAATGGGAAATTATTTGTAATACTTGTATCCAAAAAGAGATTTCTATCTCGGTCATATCTCATCAAAAATAAAATCGATGAGGGCCTGAGGCATCCCTCAGCAGAAGAACACATGCTCAGCCTGTCCAAGCCTGAGTTCCTCCCCAGCATCACACAGGCACATATGCAATACAAAAAAGAAAAACTAATAGGAAAAGGGGGCACAATTCAACTGTTTCAGCCAGGAGTTGTGGCACAAACCTGTAATTCCAATACTCAGGTGACAGAGGCAGGAGGATTGATGCAAGTTCGAGGCCAACCTGGCTACATAGTGAGACAGTTTTAAAAATAAATAAAATTCCACTGCTTCAAAGAGGGTGTCCAAATGAGGAATGAAAGATGCTCAATAGTAGTATCAGAATGCATAAAATTAAAAACTGACACCACAAAACTCAAAGAAAAATGCTGACCAAGGATCCTACGATTACTTTGGGAACTTCAGCACTAGCTATCCAAGCTGAGCTGATGTATACCCTGTGTCCCAGCAATTCCACTCTTGGTATACACTCAACGAAATGTGTATATACATGAACCAAAAGAAAAACCAAAATATCTATAGTAGTATTATCTATGAGATTTTAAAAAACCCTGTTACCCCTGTACACATAGATAGACTGCAGCATATTCATTCAATGAAGCATTATACACGGGCTATTTCCAACTTGGCCTCCCAAATGCCTCTTTACTTGGTGTGGACCATACACAAGCTGAACATCCATCCTATGCAGCAAGAAAAAGCAAGTAAACTATACACTATAACATGAACGGGTTCTACAGACAATGGTGAATGAAAGCAGCAGACACAACACAACATACTATTTCATCCTCAGCTGTCAGAAATCAGAAAGATGATTATATGTGGAAGAAGAGAGGCACTGACTGGGAGAGGACCCAGCAGGCTACTGGGGTGCTAAAAATGTTCTTTCTCATTTGGAAGACTAGTTGCAAGTATGAATTCATCTGTGACACTGTACTGGGCTGTACTAGTGAATTGGGTAGTTTTCTATTTTACCACAGATTAGGTTTTATTAGGTAGTGGGGATGGGGAGAGGATATGGCACACACCAATAATGCCCACAGTTTGAGAGGCTGAAACAGAGGGATCAAGTGTTTGAGCTCAATCTTGACAACTGAAGGACTTATAGATCCTGTCTGAAAAATGTAAAAAGAGTTGGTAATGTAGCTCAGGGTAAAAGGCTCTGGGTTCAATTCCCAGTACTGTAAAAATAAATGAGCAAGTAAGGAAATAAATAATCAGGTACAGTATAGTGCACTCAACAACATTCATTGAAAAATACTAAGTTGGTATCAAGTGAGTAGTACTAACAAGCATATATAACTGACTCAAACCAGTTTTAATAGCTATCAATAAAATATAAAATATGAACAGTTTCCACCAAATATTAGGAATAGGAATCTGCTCTTAATCAAAATAATGGCTTTAAAAAAGACTATTATAGCATGACAATGTCTGCACCTGAGGCTTTCCTAGGACACTGGACTTGGAGGATTAAAAGCAGAAAAGTACAAAGCATACGATCAGGCAAGACTCGCCTGGTCCCAGAGTTCCTCCTCTGTCCTATTCTGACAACTGAGCCAGGACATAACCATTCTATCAATGATCAAAACAAAAAAACAAAAACTTAAATAGTACTGTGTAAGCTTAAAAAAAAATTAAAATGAACTTTCAAAATTTACCTAGCCTTATTTCCAAAGTCTAAGCTATCTGTGTTACATGTTCAGCATGAACAGTATATTGTTCTAAAATGTTCCATTTTTTGCCTAAGCTATTCCTTCCCTTTGAAGTGCTTTATTATTGTAATTTCCCCATTTAAATCCTATCAGTTCTTCAAATTTTCTCTCTTCCTCCACAAACTACTTATTTTCCCTAAACCAAATTAGTTTCTTACTTTACTTATGTCATTTACGTGGCTCCCATACAATCTCTACATTCTACCCAGCATTACATTTATATATCTCTACTTATCTTCCATAAACTCCTTAGAGCCTTAGAGCACTGTCTCAATCATCTGTATATTCTAGAACATTTAGAGTTGGGGATTTAGCTCAGCGGTAGCAGTGCCTGGTTGACAAGTGCAAGGTTCTGAGTTCAATCCCCAATTAAAAAAAAAAAAAAAAAAAAAACCCTTTATTATAGTATCCATATAGTAGAAAATCTTATCTAATTAACAATGAAAGAGCTGCCATATAAACAGCTTCTATGTCCTTTCCAAAAAATCTGTCAAGCCAACTGTGAACAAGGCAGAGGTGAGATAAATTATCAGACCTGCCCTGATAAGGCAGAAACTGTGAGAACTTCAAAGACAAGAAGTCTTGGAGAGAATGGAAAAAAAAAATTTTAGTTCCATTGTATTTTCCCTCCTTTCTTCATCTTATGCATGTTCTAGGCAAACGAACTCCCTTTGCTATAGGAATCACTGTTTTTCATCCAAGTTTGTCTCATATTGGTAGCTATTTAACTATAAAGTGGTCTTTTTAACTGAAGGAATAATTATTGATTCTGTTATTCTTACCTTCTAATTTAGTTAGAAGACTTGATTCAGTTTTATTCTTCAGAGTTACTGAATCAGTATTAAGTTCAAAACTCTTTTCATCTGATACCAGAGATTCCATAGAATGGGTATTTTGAACAGACTAGATGAAAAAAAGATTTAAAGTCCTATTAACGGTAGTAATATTGTCATACAATTCAATATATTAAAGTCTTATCTATGTGAAAAGATTGCTAGCACAATTATCTGTTATACTTACATGTAGATTCAAACTTCCAGAAATATTAACAGCCTGAATTATTACTTAGAATAGGAAGGGCCTTAACCAAAAATTTGGCCAATTGGCTTTCAGTGGGTATCTTATTCAATTTCTAAAATATATTTCCCTTAAAGAATAAAAGGATTAGAAAGATCAAATCCAACCTAGACCAAGCCTTGCAACAAGAGAAAATTTAATGATTCTGATTGTATTTTATCTCCAAAAATAACAGCATTCATAAAAATTAACATTTGTATAATCCCAAGACAACAATTATTCTAAATCTAGAGAGTAAAACTTTTTTCTGCAAATAAGCACTCTTCTCTAAGACAGCCAAGATTAGAAAAACTTAGTATCTTTAATCTATGACATTGGAAGGGTGATATAGTACAAGACTAGAGGTTTAGGTCAAGTATTATAATAGTAATAACCCCTAAGGGGAGAAACATCACATAGCACTAAGAACTAAGGTTACTTCTTGTCTTTGAAGTTCTCACAAAGTTTCTCTGCCTTATCAGGACAGGTCTGATAACTTATCTCCTCACCTTTGCCTTAATATTCTGGTTCTTCCTCAATGTCTTACCAAAACCATAGGTTTAAAAAGATCAAGAATAAAATTTGGGCTACCCCCACTATGCCCACATCCTGCTTATGCCTAGTAAATGTTACTTTATGGTTCTCCCAAGAGACAGTCAATCCTTCGTTTTTATCGGGATCGAACTCACAACTGCCTGCTTGCAAGGCAGGCGCTTATGCCGCTGAGCTAAATCCCCAGCCCCTGTTCCATCTCTTAACCTCTGAGAAGTACCATCCAGGACTTCTGTACCATCTCCCGTTGGTGGTCCCGTATCTCCTGTCTTAAGAACACTGTTGCAGGTAGGTAGGCCTTGGACCCTTTCCCCAGAAAGTTACATGAGTCTGAGATCAGAAATGTTTATTTCACACACATATTTAAATACCTTTAAATTTCTCAATTCAGAGGAATTATTTCCACTTGGTTTAGATGCAGGGATAATCAAATCTCGACATTCTGTTCTAGAGATCTGCCTATTACCCAGGAAACAAAATAATTTTAGTGTTTAATTTGAATTAATCTTTTAAGTATTTTTTATTTTAAAATTTGTTTTTTAACAATACTTTTTTAAATTGGAAGAATCTCGCACAAAAACCAGTTTTAAAATGGACATGATTCTAATACAAAAGTGACTAAACTAGAAAATTAGATATTGGGTAACAACAAAAGCAATAAGGAGATATCTGTCAATGTCTTTATTACCTAAGAAGTAACAGCTGGAATTACAGTAACGCAGTGGGACATGATAAGTATATAGATGAAACTACGCTTCAGATGACAAATAGCTTAACCAGGGAACAGGGACTCTTTTGTAGGCCTCCATACATGTAGCACCAGCCTATCCTAACAGGTACCAAGAATATAGTGGGAGTTGGAGACATTTTTGTTGTTTTGGATTCTTTTTGGAATGTGCAAGTCTCCTTTACACTTCATTTATATTGATATTTGAAACAAAAGAGCAAGATGAAATCATAAAGTGATGGAGTTTCCCAGCATAGTGGTACATGCACTTTGGGAGGCCTAGGCAGGAGGATCACAAGTTTGAGCCCAGCCTTGGTGGCTGAGCAAGATCTTATCTCAAAATAAATATTGAAAAAAAAGAGCTGTGGCTGAAGATTGGTGCAAAAGCCCTGGGTTCATTCCCCAGTAGCACAAAAGGGGAGCAGTATTTAATAAAACTGCTCTTTAAATACCAATATTTAGTTAAGGTGTAAATGTAAAAAGAATTTAATCATTGATGACACTAAGTATAATCAGTTGTCTTTCTCTCAAGTTTATTTGCAAAATGATTCATTGGAACACAAGATTCTTCCAATATAAATAATATTACACATGGTGATTAGAGTTAAAAATAAGCCAGAAAAATTCCTTTAGCTGAGCTAGACTACTATATTACCAATTCTTTTAAGAGAATAAGCATTCAAATTAAAGTAAAGAGAACACATTGGATGTGATAAATGATATTTCACTACCTACAATGTCCCACTTTTTTAGAGATAGGGTTTTGCTATGCTGCCCAGGCTGGTCCTGAAACCCTGGGCTCAACAAATCCTTCTGGTTTACCTTCCACAGTAGCTGAAACTGAAGTGATATAGCACCTCACCCAAACATAAGTTAACTTATTCTATGTTTTTCAGGGCAAGGATGGAGCACCAGGCTTCATGCCTATAAAGTAACAAAGCTAAACCTCCAAGCCCTGTCCCATTTCTTGAAGTCATCAATTCGGAAGCAAATGGAAGAACATATCATCTTTCCCATTGATAGTGAGCTGGAAAAGATACCGGTCCACAGATCACCTTGTACCCCTAATACAGACTATGCTCAAGGAAGAGAATCTTACCAGAGAGGCTACCATAAGTAAGAATGCTTCCAGGTGTGAAGTTTTAATGTAGGGATGTTACATCCCTTTAGACTTCATGGTCACTGAATTTTTTTTAATATACTTTTCTAATTCTTTATTAGTTCCTTTAGTGAATATTTTTAGTGAGGAAAAGAGCAAGGTGGTCATTTTCTCTTTGTTCCTAGAGAAAATATTTAGAAGCTCAGTAACTTCTAGTAATTACTGATGAGTAGTAATTAAATAATTATTGTGACACAGTAAAAGATTTAAAACCAGTTTCCATCAATTTTTAAATATATATTAAAAAGTTAAAACTCAAACATACCTCTTTGTAAAACTTGGCATAACTGACTCATCTGTCTTCATTTGATAATCTGGACTATTTAGAAGGTTAACTGGGACTCTTCCAAATGGGCAAGACTAAAAATATTTGAAAGATTTAAGTAACTGAGAAATGAAGTGTTTACTACTATTACCTTAAACAAAGTACACTGAAAATAACTTACCCGTTTAGTTTTGTTAGCTTGTTTTAAGGGATTTCCATGAACTACTTCTGCATCTTGTGGAGGCACATTCTCCCTAAAAAGAAAGACAATGCCCCCAATTTTCCAAAGAGTAATACTAAAATGTATTTCCATTTTACTGTAAAGCATTGTTGCTATACTTACTTGACATGCATATATGTGTGTATAGTTAAATAGATGACGAACATATAGGAAAAAAATTCAATTTTCTTACCCATATAAAAATCTGGCTTTAGTGGCTGGCCCTCTAGAATCACAACCGACGCTTCTATTCTGCAAATGTCCAAGCGAACTGGAGAATGATTCTTGAGCAGTTAATATTGAGGCTGTAAAAATTTCAACTCCATGATTAAATTTGTAAGGACATAAGGGATACACAAAAAAATAAATCTTATAAATGAGAATACCTACAAAGTCAATTCAAAATAAATATGTGCCCACAGGTAAGGTAAGTAGACATAAAGATGTTAATAAGATAATGTTAAATGTTATATCTCTTCAAATTATTTTAAGTGTATAACTATCTTATCCAGGTAAAAGCACATTCTCTATTTATAAAAGCCATCCTCTTGTTTTTTTGATTCGGAAAAAAAAGAGATAAATTTCAACAACATTGTAAAGATCTTTTTAGTTCTAAAAAAACCTTACTTCCTTTATATTTATAATTAATCTTAAAATTTCAACCTTTCCATATAAATGAAAATTTTCTGTAATATTATCCTCAACTCTTGCTTGCTGTATTAACCTACCACAGAAGAGTATTAGCACACATTAGTAGTCACCTGATAAACTCTTCTTTTCCTCCTCTGAAAGCAGCTGCTTTTTTTGGAGGTTTAAATTACGCAGCGCAATTTCCAGCATTTCTAGTGGTACTGCTCCACTATCCACAGCTTTCTGGAGAAGTTGTTTACTTTTTTTGAAATTACCTACCAAAGTAGAAAATAACTGTCAATTTATGCAGCAGTTACCCTCATCCTCAGGCATTAGGACCTAGGAAAAAATTTAGAAGACTAAAGCAAAAATATCTTGTCAGACACACACTTTATCTCAAAGACAATCAATCTATTCTCTCCAGGCATATAGTCAACTCTTTTGGTAACAACTCATCTCAAAATAGTTTTGTTGTGTAATACACAATTGACATGGTATTAGCTTACCATCATTGTTCATTTCCAGAAGTAAAAGAAGTTTAACAAAGCAAAATAAAAGCAGAGGCCAAATGTAGCATTAGAATCAGGCGAGAATTCTGCATGTTACAGTAGTCCTGAGAGCAGCAATCTTTTATGACACACCCTAAGAAGCACCACTCAGAGTACCACCTAGGAAAGAATAGGCTGGCATCGTTTGCTAAGAGAAATCTTTCATCAAAAGGATTTTTGTTGGGATGGGGGAGCCATGATAAAGATTAACCAGTAGAGACACACTAGTCTCAAAATTAAAAAAACAAACAAAACCACAAAAAAACTGAGATAGTGGTAATTTTCTGATTACAAATAATCAAATTTTATTTCAGACACAAATATCGCTAGTATGCAACATACAAATATTAAATGTATTTATCACATATCTTAAGGAATGTGCTATCAACAGTCACGAGAGCTGCTAAGCTATACGTGCTTAGTATTTAAAGAAGATTAAGAGCTGCCCTCTAATCTTTGACAGTTTATAAATTTTAAAGAATGTGAACATTATTTGACAGTGCTTAAATCCACACATGTATTGAGAGTAGTGTAATATTTCATATAATTGTCTTAGACAGCAAAAGAAAAACCTTTAAAAAAAAGAAAAACCTTTTGAAAATCTGTTAAAAACTATGGGACATTCTGTACTTCTACAAACATGTGCATACACAACCAAACTATGTGTAGGATTTCAGGGACACAGTACATTCCCTGACAGCCTATCAACCCTGTTCAAAATAATCACAATTTTCACCTTAAGGATACATACTATTACATTGCAGTACTATGAATTTTCCTTTTATAGACAATTGAATTTGATTTTCAATATTTTTTAAAGTTGTAAAATTTATAGGTGCTGCTGAGAAGACGTAACACTCAAACATAAGTGGATTGGTGAAACAGTGTTAAAGGCTTAGCCAAAACTATTCTAATAAGCAAGAATGAAGAATTGATTTTTTTAAGCAAGAATGAGATGATTTTGTTAAAAAGTAATCTGACAGCAAACAGGATAAATGGAGAAGATTCAGAAACAAATTGTACAGGTCAAAGTTTAGGGTTCTCAAACCATTACCAAGTTGTATATTTTAATCCCAATTTCAGTCCTGAAGAGTTCTCTCTAGTGAACACACTCAATTTTACCCATCATCACGATGATTCTGTTAATAGGGATTAAGATTTTTACCACAGGGTAGTACATGGGATCCAAGCTGTAGCACAAACAAGTGGACGGAAAATAGGAAGACTTGGCCAGAGCATAGGCTGGTACACTGAAAGGCCCCAAGAAATGGGAAGGCTAAACATACCTGAGGAATAGATGTTCTAGCCCTACCCAAAGGGCCCAGAAAAATAAAGAACCAGGTACCCAAACTAATGTTTTAATAGTAGTTTTGGTTTTTTTTTTTAAAAAAACTACTAATCAGATGGGTGAGGGATATAGATAGCTCAGCAGTGCAGCACCTGACTGGCAAGTGTAGTTCTGAGTTCGATTCCTGTACCAAAAATAAATAAATACAGCATAAAAATGAAAAAAATTAAATATTGTATCTATATTTAATGTATATTTGGTGCCAAGAAACCATAGCTTAAGAAAAGTATAATTTAAATGTCTCACATCTTTCACTGTACAAATACCAGTGAAGAAGCTACTATATGTTAGATGTACTAACCGAACAGTACAATGTTCATTTCTGTGGATTAATCCTTATACATAGAAGATAACAAATATTCTGTTTATGCTTAGGTAGCACCACCTCCCTGTAATCTCCACTGATCAATTTTAATGTTTCTTGCCTTAAATTCGCAAATATATGATTTAATATTAAAGTGTATTACTATAGGATGTCATCTTTTACTTAAATGTTGGGCTTGACATTTTCAGATTACCTTGAGACAGTTCAAATTGTGCAAAAGATATATGCACAAAAGCAAATTTCTTGCAGTTTGCTCTGGCCATTTGAAAGTAGTCACGTGCATCATCTGGCTCTTGAATACTGTAATAAAAGATTAAAGGCTGGTTTTTGTTTTTTTAAAGAAACAGATTCCTAAACTTAGAAACTCTTCATTCTATTTTCCAAAAGATATCAAATATTGCTTTCTTCTGTATAAAATTACCTACTAAGTTATTTTCTCCAATCTTTTTAGGCACAATCTAAAATATGTACTTTTTGGAAACATGTACACAGGAAAGAAAGTTTACATTAATTCCTTGCTAATTAAAAGCAAATATATTTGGTCAAAAAATATCAGTTTGGCAGTATTTTCATTTTCCCTCTTTGCAATGTAGCTATACATTATATAATCTAGTTAAACACAGTCAAAATGGTAATACTTACGCTTTTAATTCAGCAAATCTCACTTGAATTTGAGCAAAACTCTCATTTTGGCCATATTTATCTGGAGGAAGTGCTTCAATTGCTTGACTGTAACGACCAATTAATTTATTTAAAAGAGCATCATTTAGGGGGACACTGTTTTTCTCTAGTTTGATTAAGAAATTCAACCAGTCCTCTGGGTTGTTCGCCAGCATCATAATTTGATTAACAGTTCCCGAGTTATCTGAATAAAGAAAACAAAATACATCACCGCAGCGAGATGAACATAAAACAATGGCAAATGGCATTTTTCTTTCCAATTAACATAAAAGCATTTATCTGTTGGAATTCACATATATAAACCCCATAAAATACTTTTTTTTTTCTTGGAATGTAACAATTCATATTAGAAAATATTCCATCAAGGATTTAATGCATCAAAATTTCAGAAATACTGTTCAGATCCTACCGTATTTTCTTTTTACAACCTTCCCCTTTAAATGCTATTTCCATATGCCTCAAATTTACTTCTAAAACAAAAGAAAGTCAGTTTGGTCATTTTCTTCTCCCTTCAGGTAAGTTACCTAAATTAAATGCCTTTATTTTATTCCTTGATGCTGTGACTGCATTATATATTTTGTAATTATTACTGTTTTTTCCTAAAATACTGAAGTAATGGCATGAAGGGAAACCTAAATGTTGAGCTGTCAACACAGTAAAAAGTAAATTTGCTAAATTAAAAAAAATTTTTTTCTCTAGGGGACTTGCTAATTTCCTGGTCTCACCAGCCCATAACTACCCTGGTCTAGAGCTTCGAAATTTATAAGACTTCTTGTGCATACTAGTTTCCTTGCTAAGAAACTCTGAACTATAGAAACAGCTAGAATAATCTTTAGACACAAGTTTCACATTGTGATGTACTTTTTATTTGCTTTAGTGTTGGTTGTTTTTAATAAGTAAATTGAAGGTCATTCTCCCATTTAGGATCTTTTAAACCATTACTAAAAATTAAACTCAGATTTCCCAGACAACCTATGATTCCTTTATCAATTTTATTTGCCATCAACAAAGCCTCTCTACTTTTGCAAACAAAACTAGTGTTTCTACTCAAACATAATGAACTCAGAATTTTGCCCTTTCACTTTAAATTCCATTTGGTCTAATCTTAATTTTCCAGCTTTCTTACTGCTTTCCTAGCTATTACAATGCTGCCTCTGTTCATAAACTTAATTCCTTCCACAATTCTGAGGACAATGGTGGTGGTTTTGTTCATCACTAGATACAGACTGAAAATGGAAACAAAATTGTATTCAACACTTTGGTTCACAAATGGAACTGTTTGCAAACAGAAGTGTTCATGAGCCAAGGCAATACTGTAATCTATGAAATGCCTTAAAAAACACATTTTTGCAAGCCAGGCAAAAAATAGTGGCTCATGACTATATAATCCAAGATCAAAGCAAATCTGAGGCCAGCCTGAACTACAAAGCCACAACCTGCCTCAAAAAACAAACCAGCATAGCTTTGGAGATCTACTGCTTGGGCTTTGTAGTAACCTATCCTTCCTTTAGTCTACAGAAAAAAAAATCTGTATCTTTCTCATGCTAATACTGATATGATGGTCAGGATGCAGTACAATGTAGCACAGGGAATATATAAATTCTCATTTAAAAAGAAACTGTGCTTTTAACCATCTTTGAACTTTCTTCAATACTTAATTCTTATATCACAATTCTTAGCATAATGTCAAGTGTTTATGTTTTGAGTATACTAAGGACCAATGATGTTTAAGCAAGTACTCAACTACCTTGGAATTCAGGTTTGTGGGTAAAAGATAAGTTAGGTGATATTCTATTAGGATTACTTGATAGCAAAACTATAGTCTCCTTGGTTGTTTCAAAGCAAATATAGTCTGCACCACAATTAGATTCTTCCATTTATATTCAATCTTTGAAGTATTTAATGGTTACTACTGATTTAACAAATATCCAGAAGTCACTGTCTACTCAAGTAACTCAACCACTTGAGATATAACAAAGAACTGGGCTTCTGAACTTAATAATTCCCACAAAACTAATGTGTGAACCTTTGGGCACTTTCACTCATTATCATTCAATAAGTATTTAAGCGCCTACCATTCCCAAGCACCATCCTAAGTGTTGTGGATATAACAAACCAGATCAAAACCCCTTGCCCTCATGGAGTTCACATTCTACTGGAAAAGAAAGACAATAACCAAATACATGAGTAAATTATATACAAAGTGATTAGTACTATGAAGAAAAATAAGACAAAGAAGGAAGATAGATTACACACTTCCACTCCCGTAAACAGATGTCTTAAACAGCTACATTAGGAAAGGATTTATTAAGATCATATTTAAAAAAATGACCCAAAAGAAAAGTGAGTAGATATTTGGAGACTGTTAAAAGCAAGAGTTAAGAGCAAGGGTATTGGTGTATTAAGCTAGTCTAGCACACAAAAGAGAAAAGAAGCCTCTGTGGCTGAACAGAGAAAAGAGGATAGGAGAAAAAGACCAGAGAAAAAACAGAAAAATTCTTCAGATAAAAATTATTTAGTGTTTGATATTAAATTGTGGTTGTTTTCGTTTTGAGACAGGGTCTTGGTATGTAGTTCCCGCAAGCCTTAAACTCACTATGAAGCCCAAGGCTGGCCTCAAATTCACAGCAATTCTCCTGCCTCACTCTATCAAGGGCTAGACTTAGAGGTGTGCACCGCCATGCTCAGCATTGAAGTAAAATTTATACATAACTTTATTAAGATTGGTGAAGTTTCCTTAGCACACTTCAAAAATAAAGGGAAAATGGCATATCTATTGATGAAAGGCATATAAACAGAAATAGCCAACAATATTATAGAAGTTAAGAAAACTACCATTAAGCTCCAGATTTTAAGCATGCTCCATGTTTTAAGAAACCAGAAAATTGTGGAATATTTCCAAAGAGGTTAAAAGTCAAAATGCACTAAAATGGGTAAGTGCTAGATAGTGTGAAAGTTACAGTATGCTGACATACAGGGCTTAGCATCTCATTCTTCACCTTCGGGGAGACTCTAACAAACAGTTCTTATTTTAAAAAAGAAGAAAAAAACTCACCTGTCGTATCAGCAGAGACTTTATTCAAGCTTAGCTCATCAGTGAGATCTTCGTTTTTAAATTTATTTTTAATATCTCTCACTTTGTTCATTATGGAATCAATTGTCAATTCTCTGCCACTTAAATCCTCCGCCTCCATTTCTAAGTTGCAACTGGTTTTTTAGAATCCAGAAGATAAAAGTTTGTTTAAACACACGTAAACTCGGAGCTATTACTAGAAAAGTTAGTGAAGCTCTATGCAGGAAAATAATGGATATGGTCTTATATATTCAAGTAGGTTTCAAAAGGCCCAATCACCTTTTCTCCTCAATATAACTTCAGTTAGATCCAGTGAAGCTACTCTCTGGAAGTGACTGCACAACATTGCTGCCCCCTCCTACAATTTCCATTTTCTTCTTCTGGGCATAGAATTTTTTTTCACACCTTTTCTATAATTATTTTCTCAGGTCATCATAATGCACATCTTTTTTTAAAAAAATATGGAGTGTTCATTTGGATTCTGGTAACAACATGCAGATTTTTCTGACAATGTAAGTAATAGTTGGTAATGAGATCAACAGTTCCTTTATTCATCTGCTTTACGTTAATCAATCTTCACTATGAGAGTACTTTCAAAGCAGAGTATGAAGAACACACTGATAAATAAATGAGATTCAGAGGATTTGTTCCTGTATCTAGCAGAATCACGACCCGCTACCTTAATCACGTTAATTAAAGAATAGACGGTACTCCTATTTCCGAGCACTTGTCTATCTGCATAATGGTGTTGCTGGATCAATCAAGTATCTGCGATCTTTCCTCCTGTCAACCTCATCTGATTTTCAAACATTAACTCAGTCACTCGGGTCACTGGAGATTAAGAATAGAGGGACGATATCACCCACCTCTGAATGACCTAATAAAATGACTGCCTGAACGTTGCCAACACCTCCTTCCAGTTCTAACTCAGCAAGCGGAGCAGAAGAACGGCCTGGAAAGTTTCCCGCAAGGCCCTCCATCCGACAAGGTCCACACCCACCTCTCGCTTCCAGGACAAACTCACACCACCACACTCCTCCCCCAAGTGGCTTAAACGCGCTGTTGGGCGTCCACTCAACTCTGAACGCCCTGCCTCGCCCTAGCCCTCACCAACTAGGTCGCCAAGGAGCCCGCACTAGGACCGTAGCCGTGCCTCTGGGCGTCCACAGGGTGAAACGTACCTCTTTAGGCGAGCCAAAGGGAAGAAAAATGGACCCGGAACGCCTCTCCGTATACACGTTTGAATTACCCCGCCGCTCTCGCCGCGACCCTCATTGGTCACGATCGGTCACGTGACGACGCCTGCCTTGATTGGTTCCCAAAGCCCGCGAGTCCCGCCCCGGTGCACCGCCAAGGTGCGGGCCCCGGCCACAGCCTCGGGGGGCGGGCTGTGGATGTGTTGGGCTTTCTAGTCTTCGAGTTGGGTCCCTGCTGGGCAGGAACCGCACCTCAAGTACCCGGACCAGCAAGTGCGTAGCAGCCCGCCTGTTCAGCGTTCCTACCAGTCAGACTAAGGGTGAGGCGGGTCACGGGAAAGCCTTTTGCGCAGCTTTGCGTTGAGGCCGCCGCAGCGTTTTGCCCTTGGGCTTCCATTTTTGTCCTTCCTCCCCCTTAACGACTTTGGGCCTGGTCCTCAAACCGATCTTCCATTCAGCCGGATTTCATCAGAATTGCGCGACCTGGGCTCGCTGGACAAGGCCGTCCCGCCAGCCCGTTATAGGCTCGGTGACCTTGAGCCTCAGGGTCAGTCCACAGCCTGCGAAAGGAGGGGCGAGGCTCATGCAGGGTGCTACCCGCGTGCTGCGGGAGTGCAGTGTGCAGGAAATGATCTTCCCCTCCCCTCTCGCGCTCCGCCTGTGTGAGACCTCTGCGTCTCTTACCCGCATCCCTACTTATCTGATGTTGCACATCTTTGCTTCAACAAAGCAGCGTGATGTGCTGTGCCTTGGTTGAAGCTACCGTTGCGCCTTTGTGCCTGACATGCTTGACTTGGAAGGCGTTTGCTGTGCACCTTGTTCTTGTTGATATCTTTGGGGCATAATCTCAAAAGTTGGTATTTTTCCTGAATGTACTGCTGCTTGATAATTCGCACCATTTCTTCTGTGCATTCACCCCTTTACTGAACTCGTGTACTTGTACATCTTTGAATACTGTGTATTATGGCTCCTAAATTTATATTTCCAGCTGAGCATGCTTCTGAACTGCATATTTAAATAGCCATTGCCTTAACATGTCCGTTTAAATATTTCATAGACATCTTGAATTCAAAATATGCACACAGCCCCTGATTTGCCTACCCAAATCTGCTTCTTACAGCCCTTGTCTGTAACTCATAGCTATTTCAATTTTTTAGGTCTACAGTCCTTGTGTCATCATACCTGACCCCACATTTAGTTCGTAAGCAGATTGAGTCGGATCTCTCAGGAAATATTCCTAGACTGCCCCCCCTTAACCCCTCCTCCACTGCCACCGGAGTAGTCCAAGGCACCCACCTGCCGTGCTGCACTCTAGGGTCCTGCTTCCCTGCTTCACTCCGTTTGCGTCCTTACCACACCTCAGTTTGTAGTCGTAAGTCATACTGTGGTACTTCTGTATTTCTGGCCTAGCTCAAATTGAAGTCTAAAACTTCCTACAATGGTCTAGAGCTGTGTGTGTTTAATCAACTTTAGCCATTAAATGTATCTACAGTAATCAAAAAGCTAAAACGTTACATTAATTCACCTTAATTGAATTAAATATTCAAACGGTATTTAGTGTAATCCTTGGCAAACTTTTAAGCACACTTTTTCAGCTATAAATTTCATGAGCTCTTAATGGAAATAAAATTTTCCCACTGAAGGTGTCAGAGTTCGATATGTACTGTTAAGTATAAAATTCACACTGGATGTCAAAGACAATGTATTTACAGTATAAAATATAAAATCATTTACACACTGAAGTGGTATTTTTGATATAGTTAAATAAAATTCAGTATTAATATTCTGTCACAGATAGAGGAGACTAGAGATGTGATATTTAAATGCATTGTGATACTACAGACTGCATTCTGGATAAGGAAATAATTCACGGAAAATTCTGCAATTTAAAGGAAATATGGGATATCATTAGTAATGTGTCAGCATTGATTTCTTAGCTGTGCCAAATGTCTCATAATACCAAATCTTCACAATGGAAAGTTGAGTGAGGGGTATAATGCAACTACCTGTACTATCTTTGCAATTTTCTTTAGAAAGAAAAAATTACTCCACGATAAGATGTTTGTAAAAATTTAATTTCTCCCATTTCTTCTTACTTTTAAAATAGTTAATAGAAAAGTGAAAATTACCTACGTGACTTGTATTACATTTCCAATGGTCTGTGATGATCACCAAGTCTTGAAGTCTTATGGATCTGACCTAGTCAGTCTATTTACTTTCTTACCACCCACTCTTACCTCACTAGAATGTGAAGTCCATAGGTGCAGGAATTTTTGTCTGCTTTGTTTATCACAGTAGGAGATGTCCCTCCCAGTGTATGGATCAGTACTTCTTCCATTGTCGCACTTGGTAAATTTTAGCCAAATGTTAACAGACAGTAACAACTTTTGGGTATTTGAGAATCCTATTTCTCAAAATCCCTTTCATCTGACTAAATAAGAACCCATTTATTTTCAGAGTCAACCCTTCCACAAAACAATATAGATAATGAAAAGATTATGCCTTTATTGTAATACTGAAAGTTTCATAATTTTGTCAAATACATAAAAATTTAGGCTATAACTTTGCCATTATATCATTTTTTGCTAATTTTTTTCTTGGTCAGTGTGGTTGTCTTAATTATAGTATTGAATTCATTATTAAGTGAAGTCATTAACCTTCAAATTTGATCTTAAAAACCATTTTCTGAAACAATTCACTTTCAAATTCTCCCTGATTTTCCAGGACAGATATAAAACTGCACATTTAGGTTTTTTAAAATAAAATTTTCATATTTGCCCATCTGAGGCATTGACCTCTCAGCCCCTGAATTACACTTTACTAAATTTATTTCTTATTTCATCCTTTCACAGTCCCTCTCATACAGGCAGTGGGGATCTTGGACTTGTCTTCAATATTTGGTACCTGACTAGGAGGGACCACCTAAACTAAGGCCTGAAAGGGAAGACCCACTCAAGTGGGAAAGAAAGAAGACAATTTACAAATATGGGGACTCCTGATTGAACACAGAAGGTAAAGCACTTGGTATTAAATACCAACAGGCTGTTAAAAAGGCAACTATGCAAGATGTTCTTGGACCTCGTTGTTTGCTGATGGTGGTTAAAATGATCCCAGATTTTAGGCCTGTTTTCTCTATCTGCACACTGCTGATCTTTAGCTCTTCTACTGTTCCTCTCAGCATTGTGAGAGTCCTCAGGGAGTTTTTCCCTGCGACCAGAGACACACGTAGCCTTACTAATGGACCCACGACCTTGTTGACATCATGCTTTCCTTCCCATTCCTCTACACATCTCATTATTGTTTAGTAATGTTCCTATTTCAGTGACCACATTGATCATACTGCATGAATATCCAAAAAAGCTTGTGACAACAAAGCTGTGTGGTTTGTGACAAATTGCGAGTTAACTCTATTAATTTAAAATAAATGTCTTGGGGCTGGGGATTTAGCTCAGTGGCATAAGCACCTGCCTAGCAAGCAGGCAGTCGTGAGTTCGATCCCCGGTACCAATAAAAAGAAAAAAGAAAAAAAAATTACATAAAATAAATGTCTTAAATTTGCCTACATACTTAACATGATAAAGTTTGGCAAAAGCAGCCTCCGTACCTAGTAACCTAGCTTGATAAGCAAACCAACCAACCAACCGAGGTTTCTGCCAGTTGAGTTCCAGCCAACCACAGCTGCCAGCTGGACAGACCATATCCCTGTGAGGGAAAAGCCAACGGTAGCCAATCAGGTTCTTTCTGCACATCATTTCCTTTTCGCTGGCTGTAAAATAGCTTGTACATGGGATGGGGTGGGGCACTCTGAACCATCTGTGGCTTGGAATGTCATCCAGCTTTTGAAAGTTCTCCCTGCTCAAATTTAAACTGAACTCATCTCCGTTTTTCTTTCAACACATGCCTCTCCTCTTTGTGGTTGTCAGATTGAGGGAATGGACAGTGCAGTGTTCATATACAGGTGCCTCAGTGTTCTATAGCATGCTCAATGAAGGCTCTTCCAGTTTTTGGGTTTTTGGGTTTTTTTACTTGAGGCCTTTACTTGGTCTGGAATCCAGACCTGAATCTATGGGCCTGGGCTGGGAACACACGTTAAGTAACAGTTACAAGGCTATCTGTTTGCTTCCCTGGTGACAAAGGTCATGGTCCTGAAGGGCTCCTTATGCCCCCCTTCTCCATCATCCAAGAGGCACTATAGCTCCCTTCAATTAGACTTCATAGTTTATCCAAAATGGCTCATAGTTCAAGCAAAACACAAAGCTTAAGCTCTTTTTCATAGGCTTCTCAGACCCGAGGGAAAAAGGCTGACTTCACAAATTCCCCAGACAGGTTCAAACAAGCGGAAGTCCAAGGGAGCTTCAGCTCAGACTCAAGCTGAAACTGTGCTATCCTGATGCACAGGAAAATCTTCCAATGAACTCAGCAGTGACAAACCTTCAAATCACACAAGGTCACCCCCACACCCTTGGCAATAATAACAGCTCCAGCAGCCACAGACTGTGAGGTGGCAGAGCAGTTTAGAGGCCACTAAAAGATACAGAAGCCAACCACCCCACAGGATACTCTCTCAAGAGCAGGACTAAGTTTGGACTTCAGCAGCTCTGTTGAAATTCCTCCAGGATACTCCTGAAGCTGAGATCTCAGGTTGCTTGTCTGTATACTAGGGTATAGACTGGCAGCACATATGCATTATTAAAATAGTTGCTATGTTCAGATGATGGTGTTGTGGTGCTTTTTTAAATAAATTCATTTACATATTTCAGTCATAAGATCATTAATACAGCAATAACTTCTGTTCAAGGCAAGAATTAATAACTGGTTTTTTTCTAATCCCTTGCTCAGTTTGTGAATTTGTACATTTAAAACTATGACAGAAATAGCAAACTCCACTGGGTACACATGCCTATAGTTCCAATTACTCAGGAGTTAGAGACAAGAAGATCTCTTGAGCTGAGGGGTTCAGAGCCAGCCTGGGCACACAACAAGGCCTCATCTCAAAACAGCAGAAAGAAATAGCAGACTTTAGAAATTTCTAAAGTGGAAGAACTATCATATTTGTTTATAACCTATAAATCACTTGAAGTCCAGCTGCTTGACTCATTTTAGGCTGGTTGGAAATCCACAGCAGTTGCAGGTATGCTGTGCATCTGTGTTTCATTGAGACTTTGCTGGCCCGGGACATTCCAGGGTTCTGCTAAAGTGGTGGGACATTCCAAGGACGCTGCTGCTCTTGTCCAAGTTAGGGGTCCTAAAATTATAAGCAAGGTGATAATTACCTATGCTGAAGGTGTAGCTTTTTGAGGCTCCCCAGAAAGAAAATTAGTCTTTAATTGCATCTTCTCTGAGGTGTTGCACTAACACATAAAGATCATAATATTTTCTTCAGTTAGCTATAAAAATATTATTTTATTCTGAGATGTTGGGCCTGAAGTTTCTTCCTTATGCAATGAAAGGAGTGCCTTCTGGTGATTCAGGAATGATGACTTAATTCTTTCACCTTGTTTTTATTTTTTTATTTCAAAGCTGGGTGAGGATTTATTTCACTGAGTGTAGAGATGCGGCAGGGCATTGCTCCAGGGTGGAGGATAGATGTCACCCACACACAGTCTGTTACACAACACAGGATGATGAGGATTCCACTTGCGCCATGGATACCCAGTACAGTGACTGAGCATGCCTGCCAGAAGCTCACTCCCTGTTTATCTGATGGGGAAAGGGTGATAGGGAAGTGTCCAGCAGCAGCCCAACTTGTCCAGTCAGAACCCACAGTTGCCTCTGGGGTGAATCCCTTTCCTCTCCTTCCCCTCCAACACCACAGATGAATGCAGAATGGAGGTGGATAGAAGAAACAGACATTGGTAAATGGTAATATTTATTTTGATTGCATAATTTATAAAAGAAGAAATGAATAATGGGACTTCAAAAAGAAATCGTATCCTTATATTAGGGAGTGAAATAGATGAGTTTTTTTAAAGTACATTTCCTAGAAAAATACCTTAATAGTTTTGATACTTGATTTGGGTGATTTAGAATTCTGAATTATAGTTACTGAGAAAGAATGTATCTTACTACATAATCACATCAACCCATGTTGATACAAAGCATGAACCATTGGTTCAAGCTTTTTGAAGTATATATCATGTAGGAAACAAAAAATGGCAATGTTTTATACTTTACAGTGACCAAAGTGGCTTCACTTAGTTTCATTCAGTTCGAGATACAGTCTCCTATGAGCTAGGTAGCACAATTTGTTTCCATCATTTTGAAACTAAGAGATGGAAACTTAAAACAGTTTGCTGACTTGTATGGGCTGTCCTGGGTTATATGACGGAAAATCTAAAACTTGGACTAGGACTCTGGACTTGTGCTCCGCAAACCATTTTTACTTCCAGCAGAAAGATCATTCATAGCTCTACAGATTTTGTCACTGAAAATAGTCATTGGTTTCTATAGATACATGTAATTCACAGTACTTATTTACATTGGATTGATACATTTTATGGCATTTATAGCAGTCCATTTTCATGCACTGTTAAAATAATACATGCATCAGTCTACTAAACAACTCAGGTCACAAGTTTCCTTTAGATTCTCCAGGAGATCTACTCTAGTCATTTACTTACCAGACAAACCTTTTGAAGAGCATCATTTCTACTTACTCCACCCTTTGACCTAGTTTCTACCAAAAGTTGGCATGACAGCTATTTTACTGTACATAGTGCAGAAGCCTAGTTCTTGCTTTAAATCTGGCTCAGCAATTTCTAATTAGACTATTTAGCTCACCCTAAAAAGGGAAGAAGTAAGGAGATACATACCCAAGGACAACGTCAGGTTCATTCTCTTCCCCATCTAATTCTTACATTCATCCCTCTCCCACCAAGGGCCAGGAGCAAGTATGCAAAGTGTAGGTTAGAGACTGTCTTGGTTCACACAGACCCAGAGAGGCGGCACATGCTGTCAGTTCTGAAGGATTCCTAGAACTACAGAATTTTCAAAGGTGCTGCAATTGCATAAAGAATACTCGGCTTTGTTTAGATCATTTTGTTTGCTACTGGTCTTCTTATAAGAAAAATCTAGCTTCTCACATTTGTGAGTTCCAGAGAAGGAGTATGAACAGAGGCCCCATTTACTATGTATCTCAATATTTAAATATTGTGCCAGCAGCTGAGAAACGAAATATGTTCTTTCCACTTACTGCAACAACAGTACATGGATAAGAACAAAAGACAAATGTATGTTTAAAACTGAGGTTTTATGTTTCTGGCAAAAAAAAAAAAAACATTTAAATTTATTAGTGTATATTTTAGGAATTTTTGTTAATGAAACCAGTCATGTTTTGCATGAATAATAACATGAAGTTATATATGTTATTTATAAATCAATTTGATCCATAAATATATTTTCATTATAAAAGATCACTTACGTTGCTCTAGTTAAGCCTTTCATATAGTTTGTGCTGTATTAACAGTAATGAACTAAAACATAAAAACTAATAATTTTACACAGAGTGCAAAATTTAAGTGTCTTTGGCAAAAATTAAAGTCAAATTAAAATCAAAATTACTTAATATGTATTTCTCAAAAAGGGATTTTTCTTTGAAAATGTTCAAAATTACCTACTAAAACTAAGTCAAGATGCATATAAAATTGTAATCAAAATTGTCTAAGTAAGTATAAAAAGGTTTATTTTTTAAAAATTTAATTAAATCTTTCTTCTCATCTGGTTTTTTGAGACAGGATCTTACTATGTATTTCAGGCTGGCCTTCAACTCATGATGTAAGCCAGGCTGGCCTCACACCCTTGCCTGACCTCCTAAGTGCTGGTGCTACAAGCATGTGCCACAATGATCAGCTCTAAATATTGCGATAATAATAGGACTATTTGCAGTTCTAGTATTGAATATCTAATATCTAATTGATACTGTCAATATAAAAATCAGTAGTTTATGTTTTGTTTACATCAGTATTGTCATAAAAATATAGTGTAAATCACATAAATAGATTTTATTTTATTACATTAAAAGTTTATTCAGATTGGAAAAATCTGAAAAGTAACATTTCAAAAGTTGTTAAAATTAATTTTAATGTATTTTACTTATTTCAATATGATTAAAATATTTCAATATGCTGTAAACATAAAAATAAATAATAAAGACTTTTACTTTCTTTTCTATGCTAAGTTTTTGAAATTAAGAAAGACACAAAAGTATATTTTAAATGTAAAGCACTTCTCAGTTGCACTAGTTAAATCTCAGGTATCTTTTCTCCCTGTAAAGAAATACTTATCAATGACTATTTTCTTTCTGTATATATAAAACAAATATTAGACATTATATATGGCTATTTCTTCCAACCATTAATGAAAAGCAATCAGAATGCCTTTTGAAATAGTTTCAATTTTCAGCAGAAAATTTACTCATTTCAGCAAATTTATTGTTAGTGAATTATGTCAGTGCTCAAAATTCCGTATCTTGAATATTTTAATACTCCTTTGACCCACACAACCACAGAAGTAGACTAAGAGTGCCTTAGCACCATTGATGAGATCAAGAGATTGAGGGTAGTAGCTTGCCCATACTCACATACGTTCGGGTCGGAAGTAAAAACAGAGCTGAAGATGGCTGGGCATGGTAGTGCATGCCTATAGTTCCAGCACTCAGGAGGCTGCGGCAGGAAAAACTGCTATTAGTTCAAGGCCAGTCGGAACTGCATAGTGAGGCTTTGTCTCAGAAAGACAAAAAATTTTTTAAATTAAAAATAAAATAGTACAGAGGGCTCTCCTGATTCTGGTTGCAAGAAACTTTCCATTATCATATAGTACCTTAGTTGCTCTACATTAAATTTATGCTCTGTTGCAGATAAAATGCTAAAGAAAAACCTTATGAATAAAATAAGCTGAATACTAGCTAGAAGCTAGTAAAATATGCTCAAATTACATTGCTTTCCTTTAGAATCACCCTTATTTATTCTATATCAGCAAGAAGTAAATGAATGTATATCACAAGAAATTTACTCAGGAGTCAGTTGTAGTTTTGTGACTTATGTAGCTCTACCAGGCAGAGCTCATTACTTAGAGATTTGATGAAGTTTTTCAGTAAAATGATCTTGGTGAGTAATAAGGATATAATCATTTTTTCACTTCCTACTTTGGCTTCAGAATTAGAGAAATTTTCATGATCAATTAGGTATCATGTCACTGCCAAACCACTGCAATTTAATTCTATGAATGCTCTGGCCAGCATAATACTCTCCAATATACAAAACTTTTATTTTTTTCTCCAAAGAATACCTACTGGCTCCAGATATGAAACTGACTGAAGTCAATGAGTTCAAAAGAAAAATAAAAGTTGTGCAATGCAGGAATGAGGTAGTAAAATAATTCTTAATTCACAAAAAAATGACAGCGCCCAAGCTGGTTTTAAACTCATAGCAGCCTTCCGCCTCAGCCTCCCAAGTGCTAACATTAAAGGTATGGGCCACCATGCCCTGCTCAGATTTGCTCTTTCATTCTTCTGCTTCAGTTGGTCACATTTCATCTGAGTTAAAACCTACAGACATTACTTATTCTTTCATTCTTTGTTTAGTTCTGACAACGTCTCAGACTGTATGCTTGGCACAGCCTACATAGAGGGTTTAAGACAAACACTAGTAGAAAGATGATAATCAAATGAGATACTTTTAACTAATAAGTACTATGGAAGAAATACGAAGTGTGATAAAAATGCCACATTATATTTAAATTAAAAATTGATTCCTGCCGATTTAGCTCAATCGTCCAGCGCCTGCCTGCCAAGCATGAGGTCCTGAGTTCAATTCTCAGTCCCCCTGCAAATGCTTTTTAAAAATGATTCCATAAAAGACTTCCTTATCATTAATTCCCCTCAAAATACCCTCTTCTTGTGATCACACATATCTCACTGTTCTTGCCACTTTTGGTAGCAGATCTGGGGTCCTCTTTAGGGTCTTTAGTTGTGCTGTTGTGGCTGCCTTGATGTCCTGAATCTGTTTAAATTGTTCACCTTTCATGGTTTTTTTGACTTTAAGGAAGAGCCAGACTTTACAAAGTGCGTATCTGGTGAGTGAGGAAGATGAGAACCTGTTATGTTTTTGCCAACCTCCATTTTTTTGGAAGGTGCTCAAAATATGCATTCACTCAATTTTTTTAAATCATATTTTGTAACAACACTCACAAAAGAAGACTGCAGAATGACGGTATAAGTACGTGTGAAGGGAGGGTGATTAAGGGCAATATGTCCTTTTAAATTTTAAAAATTTAAACATTAATCATCCATTTTGATCATGCCTATGATAAAGCTAAGACCAGAACAGTATGGAGCAGAATACCCAGAGTGATGAACTGAAGTCCCAGCAGAAGGGGAAATAGCTCAGTATATCTGAAGAGCACCCAGAGAAGAGAGAGAGTAAACAAGCAAGAGCCAATATATGCACAATCTGGCTGATGACGGTGAAGGTTTTAAAGTGCTGGGAAGCCAGCCGTAGCAGTCAATTGTAGATTGTCCTGATCCAATTGTCCCTGTGGTGAAAAGCAAAATTGAGAGCAGACGCTCCATTCTAGGAGTCCAGGCAGGAGACAATAGAGGCTTGCTTCAGGGCAGTGGAAGTACAGGAACATGACAAACGTTAAAGGTGTCATTGGTAGTACTGAGTAATCAATTGTATGTGGGAGGTGGCGTGGTGTGCACAAACAGCCTTTCACTAGCTCTGAGCGTCTCCTTTCAACTGCAATCAGTGAGGAAATGTCACTGGGCTTAGCCATGGAAAGAGTAATTTATATCACAGACATTTGCAAATGCTGGACATAAAAGCCGCTGGTCGTTCTCATCCCTAGCTAAGTATTTATCAGCATTCCTGGATCAGTGAGACAAAGGAGAATATTCAATTGTGACATTTTGGACACAGATGTCTGAGTTTTCAGCTAAATCTTTCTGTTTTCTTGTGCTCTCCAATTCTTCAAGTTCTGTCTCCTAAGTACTTACAAATCTGTCTCTTCTTCTCAGCATCTGTTGTTACTACAAACAACGTTGTCGCCTCTTTCTTGTGCTGTCACAAAAGCATCCTAATTTCTCTGGAGAATGTTGAGCAAATGGCAAATCAAGAACATTATCTTGGCCACTCACTGCATTTGTTTCATTGTGTTGAAATAATGGTAGGTGTTGTCACATTTACCTTTCCCTCTATGAGTGGTAGCGAACCCACAACAGGTGAAAGGCAGTGGGGCTGTATATTAGTGAAACCTCTAACGTTTGCCATCACTGCGTCTGGACCATGAGATTCTTCAAGACAAAGGCAAGGCCTGACATACGTGGCACACTAACTATACACAGAAACTTAACAAACACTTGTTGAAGGAAGGAATGAATCAATAATTATTCATGACACACATATTGGCAATTATCTTTTCTAGTAGGCAATCAACAGCCTCAAAATTACACTCCAAACTGAGTTTCTCCTACTAATAACATCTTATATTAGTATAACATATTTGAATTTGTGATGCTTCTCTGTGGGTCTCTGAGAGCTATGCACCACACTCAGCTTCCTTGCAAGTTTTGAGGAACTACTTAGATTTTTTTGGGGGCTGGGGATTTAGCTCAGCGGCATAAGCACCTGCCTTGCAAGCAGGCAGTCATGAGTTCGACCCCTGGTACCGATAAAAATGAAAAAGACCAAAAAAAAAAAAAAAAAAAAAAAGATTTTTTTTGTAGAATGTCTGTCAATTGGAACTTGTCTGATATTTTTCACATGATTAGACTGTAGGGGCATGTCTTAGTTACTTTTTACTCATCATTGAGACAAAATAACTGATGCCCAAAGTTGGGAAAGGAAAGGTTTATTTCTTACAGTTTTTGGAGGTTCAGTCCATACTTAGTTGGCTCCAAGACAGGGTGGCATGGCAGGGCCACAGTTCAGGGCAGGTGCAAACAGCAAGGCAGAAACCGGCAAGAGGGAGAGACACACCTTCTTCCTGCCATTACATTGTATGCTGGCTGCACCCCTATGTGGGTGTAGCACTGACACCACCAATCCAAGCGCTAGACAATGAACCAATCACAAATTCATAATGCAAATACATGACGCCTGGGGCCACCTACATAAGCCATGACAGGGAGGAAAAGCACAGGTGCCTTTTTATGGTGCTGTTTTCATTACAATAGAGCAAAGGTACACATTATCATTTTAAAAATCAGGGTTGATGTGGATCTCGCTCATCAGATTGAGGAAGCGTTTGTAAGATTTATCAATTGTAGTTACTCTATTCCTGTCAGTTTGTTACTATGTAAATATTACCACTTGTGTTCCTCTGGCCTCATCTCTTTTTCTTTCAAATAAATTTCCTTTATTAAAGAAAAAATATTGTTAGGCATCAAAACTCTGTTACTACACTGCATGTACAATAAGAGGGAGGTTATTGCAACCCTTGGCATACTTAGCTCTGAAGTCATGAGTGTAAAAAACATGTAATACAAAGTAATACAGTAACAATGCAGAAAATTTGCACTGAGCAAAAGGTAAGTCAATTATTGTATATTTCATAATATTGCTATTAATGCTTGCTTAGTGTTTTCTTCATATTTTTAATACTTAACTGAGCATATTTCTTGTAAATCTGCAGGAGATGCATTTACAACCCACTATGTGCTGTCCATTTAATGTCATGGTGAGAAAGTCATCTATAAAGCCAAGCACAATGTGCTAGTGTTCCTGCTTCTATCTTAATAATATTGTACAAAGCTAGTAAATGGTGAACCAGTTTGCCAGCATAATTTTGCTTATCCAGAATGGACAGAAATATGTCACTTTCATTAGTTCTATGGGACTTTATTCATGCAGAATGATCTGCAGCTTTCCACTTTTCCTCTCTATTCTTAACTTGCACTTCAAGAGTAAGAAACATGGCTTCTACCATCTGCCATCCATTTACTTAATTGCTTGATTCTAGTGTACACACACAGCAGGGCCAGAGTCATTACTTATTCCACTGTGGGAAACAATTGGACCAAGTAGAGTTCATGGCCTTTGTGCGGCTCATTTTGTCTGGGTCCTACAGATTTTCCAATGCATGGATGTCAGCAAATGTTACCTTGATCCCTTCCAGTAAGGTTCTTATATTGTATTTCTTTTGAAATACAATTAGATTCTTTTGGGACAGTTTGTATTCATCTAGAAACTGCCCAATCTCCTCAGTGATTTTTTAAAAAAATTCTGCATATGTTAAGGCTCACCATTTCCTGTGGATATCTGTGGGTTGTAAGAAATGCAGTGTTAATTATTCACAAGCACAGTATCACACAAATTAGTTTAGCTACCCTAAAAAATATTTAGCTACCCTAAAAAATATTATTTAGCTACCCTAAAAAATCTCTATTTCACATTTTGAACTTCCTGCTCTCTTCCTCAGATTCTTCTACTATCTTTATAGTTTTGTCTATCTAGAAATGTCAAATACTTAGCATCAAATAGCCTTTTTAGACTGATTCTTTTCACTTACAATATGCATATAGCATTTGTGTCATCCTTGACTTGTCATGGGTTGGCAGTTTCCTTCATTGCTGAATAATCTTCTGTTGTATAATGTGGCACATTTATCAATATGAAGGACATCAAGATTGCTTCCAATTCGGGTGATAAGTGAATAAAGTTGATATAAACATCCAAGTTCAAGCTTTTTTTTTAAGCAAGAGAATGAATTTCTTTTCTTTTCTCTTTCCTTCTCTCCTTTCCCTCTTCCTTTCCTGTTTCCTTCCTCCTCCCTTCATGCTATAATATAATATCCAAGACTGAGCAGTATATAAAGAACGGAGATTTATTTCTTTCAGTTTTGAAGGCCAGGAAGTCCCAGATTGGGGGCTATATCTAGTTAGGGATTTCCTGTCATCATCCTGTGGTGGAAAGTGAATCCATAAAGGATAGTGTACACATGATAGGCCAAACACAGCTTCAAGAGCTTTTATAATTAGCATCAATTCCTTCATGAAAGTGGAGCCCTCATTACCTGAACACCTCCAATTAAGCCCCACCCCCAACTCTTGTTGAACTGGGAGTTAAATGTTCAACAAACAAACTACAAAGCCATAGCAGCAGGCCCTAGTTCTAGACAGTCTTTATTATTTGTTAATTTCTTGCAAACTGAGTTTTGAGCTGTAGTCTTTGGGCCAGAGCTCCAGAGTACGTAAGTTCAATGGCTCTGCCTCTTGGTATATGTCTGGACAGCTCATAAATATAAATAAGAATATTATGTTTCCAGGTACAGTGTGGGAAAGGTGATACAAGTACAACTGCCATGACTATCAACATTTATCAGCTCTTGTCTGATTTTCTTACATGTGACTGGTGCCCCCTAGTGAACAGTGAATTAAACTTGGCTGTCACTGTAGAAGAGAGGCCAAGGAAATAATCTATCTGATGGTGTTCTAACAACTTTGCACTGTATTAAAAAGTAAAGATGAGGTTTAGCGTGGGGATGGCAGTGAGTACAAGCATGTGTTCTCGATAAGAAGACACAGTATTCCACAGTATAGAACTGCTTAGCAGTTAATTTTGCAAGTGAAGTGCAAATTAATCTGCATTTTATTAGATAAACTAAATGTGCTGACCTTTATTCACTTTCAATATAGAGAACTGGGCTAGATTTTTTTTTAATATCTACTAGATAAGTCTGACACTTGTAAATGGGGTTTAGACTTGGGAAAATATTTCAATCCAGAAAATGTTATTTGGGAACCCACAAATTTAATCCAAACTTTAATTTGGTCTAGCAAATGGCATTTTGAATACAGTATTTAAAGAAGACCGTGACTGTTTGAGTTATACAGTGAATCAATTACTTTTAATTACTTTCTCCCCCTGAAACTCTTAATATATAAATACATAACCCTTACCACACTCTGAAAGGGAGTTATAATTTTATCAGCATAAATATTTAATTACTAATTATAGTACTGTGTAAGTGCCTCATCAAGCATCCAAAATAATTCCTCTTCTCTAGTATGTTCCCAATATTAAATATAAAGATTATAATACCAAGTCAATTACAAAGTAAGTCAACTATATACAACAGAAGGTAGTAATAACAGTGGCAGGGAATAAAAGCAAACGCTCAACACATCGGCCTTTAAAATGAAGCATCCTGAACAGACAAGTGGAGAAAGGGTTAAACAGAAAGTAGGTTGCATATTTAAATGACAAGTAGAAGAAAGGGCTATTGGCCTCTTTCCAAAAGAAACTGTCAGTCGAGTTGCACTCAGTTGCACATAGGGTATTTTTGTTACTTTTCATAGGTGGCCTCTCCAGTTGTCTCCTACTGTCTTATCCAGATCCCCGCCCTCCAAAAATGTTTTTTTAATGAAAAGAAAATCACTTTTTCTCTTTGGGCTAGCTCTCCCACGTAATTATCCTTTCAGATTCGCCTCAACCCCTGGAGGCCCACACACACTTCTGTAAAGCCCTCAATCCTTCTCAGTTCACCTTGCTCCCTGAACTACTAAAGGCACAATTATACTGTATTGGTTACTCCATGGCTATGAAGAGTACACTGAACACACGCAAGCATTCGTTCCATCTCATGTTAACATGTTCATAGGAAGGCCTCAAAATCTGTTCTCGGGTTCTGCAGTATGAATGCCGGATCCTCTGCACCGGGCAAGGGGAAACGCTTGCATTTCCTTTGCTACTTGTGAACGAAGCCTTCGCCAATTCAGGTGCAGGGAGCAACAATGCAAGGACATCTAGGTGAGTGACAGGTGAGCCCAACGCCCGCCAGCTCATCTCTGCACATTACCGGTCGTATCCTGCACAGTCTCCCAGAGTCTCTGCGCCAAGGCTGCTCACGCCCCCGCAGGGCTGGAAGGAGGATGGGGAGACCACCCCCGCCGGACTGCGCCTGCGCGCGCCCTGGTCCCGCCCCTGCGCCCCCGCGCGGCACGTGACCTGCGAGGAGATTGGGGTCGGGCGCCGCACAGCGGCAGAGAGGTGCGCGCGAGCGCTCGGGCGGGACCTGCTCCTCTTGGTACTGCGGCGGGGCTGCTGCTGCTGCTGCTGTCCCGCATCCCCGACGCGTCTGTCCGCTCGGCCCGCAGTCCCCGCCGCCGCATCGCCCCGCGGGAGGCGGAGAGAACGCCGCTAGTCGTGGCCATCCGCAGGTCCGCGGCCATCCTCAGGTCCGCGGCCGTCGCCGAGCTCAGCCCTCTCCTGGGTCCGCACCGCAGGCGCCGCTCTCAGTCGCCATGGGGCTCCTGGACGCGGGGCCGGACAGTGTCCTGAGCGCTGTGTCCACAGCGCTCAACGACACGGTGGCGTTCTACCACTGGACCTGGTCCATCGCAGGTGAGGATGCTGCGTCCCTTCTCCGGCCTGCATCCCTGCTCCGCCTCACCGCCTGCGCTGCGGGGCGCCTCGGGCAGCGGGGACCGGGTGCCGTTCGCCTGCCTGCGCGGGCCGAGCAGCGCGGTTGGCGCCGACCCGCAGCCGCGGGAGGCGGGGGTGACGCGCCGGGCGCCTCCGGGGCTTCGCGGGGACCGCAGCACCCCGCGCCAGCATCCCACGCGCGGATCGGTGTCGGCGTGTGGTGATGTCGGGTGCGGAGAGGCGTCGCGGTGGGAGCGGGGTCCAGGTGGAGCTGCCTTTCTGCCGTTGACTGATGGCTTTGACGAAGCCCAGCCACTGTCTTCTTGTATCTAGCTCATCCATCCCTAAAGTAACGTGGGCCGGAAAGTTAAATAGCATTATCTGGCTCTCGAAGAACGTCAGTTTCTGAGGCCGTTCCAGCCGGATATGTTGGAGGTGGTTGTCAACGGCTTTACGCACTGCAGTGCAGCCGCGGTAGGGGGAGGTTAGAACGCGGGAAGAAATTGGAAGTCTTCTGAAGAGGGTCTCCATAGCAGCACCTAGAGGTTGTCCGGGAAGCCTACAGAGAATTGGCAAACTTTTCCTTTATTCAGTTTATTGCGCAGGACTGTCATTGGCTTGATTTATATAGATTTTCTAGCGGAAGATTATGGCCGTGTCATACGTTTTTGCATTTATGATTTCTTTAATGGCTTTGCTGCGAACATTTCAAAAAGTTTTTGAAGTCAGAAGCATTCAGTGTAAAGGATTTTAGAAATGATCCTGTGTACAACTTTCTAGTTTTTTTTCATATGATTATATTCCTGTAGTGGAAGACGTTAACATTTAAGGTTATGATACTACTCCCATCCTTAGAAATGAAAATATGTTTCCTGTTGTTTTTGTGTTTGTTAGCATTAGAGTAAGAGAGTGATAATTTCATGAGTGTACATAGGGTACATATTGTGGACAAAAACCACTTGCTGGGGTTATTTCTGTGTAAGGTAAAATGTTTTAGTTTTTTTTTTTTTTTTTGACATGAATGCCACATTGAGTTCTTTAGGAAAGTATGTTAATTTTCAGGAGATTTCAAATTTGGCACTGGAAAGTATTATCTGAAGATGGTTAAAAGGTAATTTTTAATGGGATGTTTCTTCCTTCAATCTTTCTTCAATATGTAGTGCTTTTATGTTACACTGCACCTGCAAAAACTGGGGAGGATGTATTCTCTGTGATTTTGCATCTTTGAGCATTGCATCAGAGTCTCTCATTACACAATTGTGCAGAGCTAAGTATCAAACAAGCTCTTTGGCAGGTAATTGTGCTTTGCATACTTGGAGTTAGACTCTGTACCCTGATAGTCTGGACCACACCTATGAGTTCTCAGGCTTGTTGTTCCCTTTATCTGCTGGAGCTTTCTCACATCCCAAGTTGAAAAAAGAAAAATCGAGCTAGAATACACTTTTGTTTACTTTTGGTACTTTTAGATTTCTTTTATTTGGAGAGACTGGGATGGGTGAGTCAATACTGAGGTTTGAACCCAGGGCCTTGCACAGACTAATCAAGTGCTCTACCACTGAGCTACATCCCCAGCCCTGCAATACTCCTTTCTGTGGTGATTAATTTCTTTCTAATGACATTTGTGTCAAAAAAAAAAAAAAAAGACCATGAATGCATTAGAGAAGCTTGGTGCAGTTGCCTCAAGTGAAGTCTTGCGAGTAGGTTTTGAAGAACAAATCAGACAATGTGGGTCTAGACTGAGAACTGAGAGCAGCAACTGAGGCATGACCTCTCCCCAGCAGGTTGGAGGAAAGGTACTCCTCCATGCGGATACCTGTCCACTTAGGAAACCTGAGACTGTTTCCTGACCTTCTGAAATCTTAGGCAGAGGTACTGTATTTCTCAACTGAGAAGCTTGGTGCCTGTGGTCTGTTCTGTCTTGCTGCAGGTTTAGGCAAAACATACCTGTAGCCCATGGGGGCACATTTCTTGCACTCTCTTCCTTTCTATGCTTGTATGTTCCTTCTGTTCAATTTAATCACATCCTTAAGATTCTAGGCATAATTTCATGAAAATCTGGATAAGGGGGCTTCAGAATAGAAAAACAGATGTATTGTTAGATGGAGTTGAAGAAAAGTCAGATATTTGAATCAGATATTTGGAAAGAGGGAAATACAAATGGGTGGGAGGAATAGATGGTCTTGAGAAATTGGTGTATGATGAAAGGATGCAAATTAGTCAGGAGGAACAAGATAGGCCTCCAGCACTTGAGCGCTTTCATTACCTGGACTGTCACAAAGTGCTTCTTTCTTACCCTTTTATTAGTTCCCAAAGTAGTTCTTTCCATTGACGTTTCTAGCGAAGTGCAAGTAAAATACATCTGCTTTGGATTATTATAGCAGGAATAGTTTAAGATTTGTAGAGTATATTTGATGGTTCAAGAAATTTTTGCTGTAGGGCAAACATTTTCTAAAAAGTGACATTTGAGCTGTTATATCTTGTGGTACTACTAAACACATCCAAAGAAATGTATGGTAACTGGACTTTGCAAAGGCACATCTCTGGCAAATACAGAATGTGGTCTTTAGAATGTTAACACTGAAAATGTAGAATTGAAACTTTGAAAGAGCTATATTTTGAGAAAAACAATAAAAGTAATTCTCCACTTCCATGTATTATATATATAGATTTGTGGGGTAAGGAAGTTGATGTTGGTTTATATTAGAAGGAAGTATACATTGATGGGTGAAAGCACCGTTGATTGATTTGGTGGCATTGGAGTAGGTACTCTGATGTCACTGTTATTTTCTTTTGTTTTTTCACTTTATGAACACATTAAAATGATTGCAGTGGGTATCTCAGGTTCAAAGGCATAACCAATTAACAAAAGTTGTATGTAATATTTAAAAACTGATAAATCTAAATATTCCCCAGGCCATAAATTTAAAATTATACATTGCATCTATATTATCCTTTGCATTCACTTACTGTTGTTTTACTAATATCTTTGTATATACCCAAAATTTAGCATAGAAACATCATAGAATTAACAAGATATTTACAGTAAAGTCCAGTATTCCCTGAGCTACTATTTCTTTTTTGACTACATGATTTTAAATAGGTACTATTTGTGAAGTCTGGGTGCATGTGTGTGTTAGTTGGCATTACTCCTGTGACCCAGTACCCCACATTTGGCTAAAATTTTTTTGTCTGTGTGATAGTTGGTGATATAACATGGAAAGCCAGCCTAGCAAAAGTGAGAAGAGATGAATGGTATAGGAGAGAAGACATCTGTAAAAGTGATGGAATTTGGAAGTCAGGCTTACATTACCTTTCGTTCTTTCCTCATTCATTTGCTGTCAGAAAGCAGAGATCTGGGCTATGAAGAGAGAAGCGAGACACTTTGATCTGAGGCCTAGGAAGGGGTCACTGCCAGTTCCTTTTCCTCTGTATCATGGTGGAAGGTCCCAAGATCTGTCAGAGTGAGGCCTTGCTGGATCTAAGGGAGGTTCGAAATGTCTTTCCTCTTCTTACCTCTGTGTCTCTATGTGCACCTCAGTCTTAAGTTGTGAAAGGCATGCACAACTTCTTTTTTAGACTTTTGTAGCTGTTTTCACGTAGACTCTTTGTCCCTGCTCTTGAATAAGTGGAGGGGAACTCTCAGAATGTTTGGATAGGTAGACTAGGATGTCAGGGACAAAAGAGGACACTCACTGAAACCAGGGGAACTGGGAATGTGAGTAGAGCGAGTGAGTCATTCAAGTTAGATGTGGGAACAGATGTTTAAGTCAGCTTTAATAACTGGGAGTAAAAACAGTTTATCTAAAGGCTTGTTGAGGCCCTCAAGACATGTGTGCTTTTAAACACTGTCCTGCATGTTTATATTAATTTTATTATATGTCACATTTATGTATTGTTTTTCATTGTCTAAAATAGGTGTTGTTTACTTTTTAAGTTTTTGGGCAACTGATTAAAAATAAATGTATAGATTACCAGCTTCTAACAATAGGTCTCCTTTGGTTGTTGTTTTCAGTGAGGTATTACTTCTTAACATCCCTGAAACTTCTGTGAGCACACCACTGTTTGAGGTCTCTTTGGACGGGTTTGGATTTTAATCCTTCTGCACAGTCTGGTCTGAGGCAGCAGATTGCTGACCTTTCATGGCTGATGTTCATGTCAACTCCTCAGCAACAGCATTTCGCAGGAACATCTCTTGCAGGTGGAATTCTAGGACAGTAAACGCAGATGCAGATTCTCAGACTTACATAGTAGGATTCTCTGGCTTAGGGAGACAGTCGTAAGAGTTATTCAGATTTCAGACAAAGTGTTTCCTCATCCTTTTAAATTAAATTATTTTCCTCAAGTCATATGATATCATCTATGAATAACAACATCATTAATGTAAGTATTATTTTCCATTATTGAGCCACTTTTTTGAATTAGGTCATATATTAGCACACACACAAGCATTATATGACAGAGCCTGTCTTTTCTCATTTCACCTCTTTGTTCCTTCTCATTATTAGGATATTTTGGCTGTACAAATCAAAGTACTATTGCTTTATCTTCCTTTAGAATGAGAATGTGTTTGTATTAGGGAATATTTTTTTAAAATCATATGGGCTTCAACTTTTAGGAAAATAGGGGAAGTAATCTGCCAGCTTAGGCACATGGGATAGCTCTTAGACCTGAGAGTAACATGTGTCATGTTTACTTTGTATTGCTCTTTATACCATTCCCTTTGACTTTATCAATCTTTCCCGTGTCCACTTCTCTAGAAACCTCTTATACTTTACAATACAATTCCTGATCACTCATGTAGCCTGGAATAGTTGGCTTTCTCACATGGACTCATTGCCTTTAGCAATTACTCATCTGTTTCTTTGTGCTGTTGCCTCTGTGACTATAGTCCTATGTTCCTAAACTGTTTACATTTTCATGTTTATCTACACTTCTTTATATTTTGCTCTCCCACACTAGGGAGCATCACATGTATTTAT